TAGTATGCATACGAATTTGCAAGCGTTATTTTTTTCATCCACCATTATTCGTGTGTGACTCGAGCTTTGAGCGAGTCTATCAAAGCTGCCTTATAGAACGTATATAGCTTTCTAATTGAGCGCGAGTATATCTACATATATTTTTTCTTGCCTCTCTAAAGATTACATCGATATCGCATCTTCCCTCTCTCTCTCGGCTCGTATTGTACACACATACATTTATGCATGTCCTCGATGATATTCCTCTCACTTAGGTATTCTGCAGTGCGCGCATTGCAGCTCGCTCCGTGTGTATGTACACGAAAGGCCTTTTATCCGATACGGCATCAACGATTCGAGAGAGAAAGAATCTCCAGGAGGATCGCAAGAGTACGTTTTATATATTACTCCAATGTCACGAGGCAATTCTGCTGCTCTCTTACCTACATACTGTATATATAGTGCGCGAGTTTTAAATACTCCGAGTCATGCGAAATGTCTCGGCGCTCGTCTTATTAGTTAATCGACGGCAACTTCTTGTTGACGTCTGGTCTGTTTGTGTATCTAATAATGCAAAGCCTGCACCGCGAGAGAAAAAAAAAATTAAAAATATATCGCAAGTCAACCGCAGCTTGGCACTGACGCGATGGATTTCTCAACCTATACGAGCGGCTATTCTCTCGAGCATTTGTATTTAATGCGCTGCCACCGAGACAGGTAGTTGAAAAAAGTGTCGATTTTCAGACTGCACGCAGGGCTGTATTATATTATTTGCCTGGGCGTACAGTAATGCTGCATTGTTTCACGCAGCAGAATTTTACACGGGCTCGTGTGTGCGCGCGCAGCTATGCGGAGCTGCAGCAAAGCTTCTTAGGTAATAAACACTCGCACGGCATAGCCTATCTTATACGTGTATATTGCCATTGTAATCGTACAAAAGGTCAGATCCTGGAGGGTTAAATGCCGTTTGATTTTTTCGCAGCCCTCGGGATCGGCTCTCCTTCGCCGACGTCTTCTTCTGAAGTTACTATCGTTTTTACGAGAAATGGGATAGCTGGCTCAAGGAGGAAGAGAAGAGATAGGATTGAATCTATTCATATGCAGGCTGTATAAAGGCGCGGGTCTCGTAAACGCAGAGTTGTTAAGCGCGAGACTCGAATCATTAATAAGTTTCGAGATAAGCCAGTAAGCGACGCACACGCACGGCGACTCGGCAACGCATAGAAATGCCTCTTATTCGCCTTCTCTCTCGAATGCATCGTGCGCAGTGCGCGGCTCTATACGCACCTCTTCGATCCGCGCGCTCGCAGTTTTATGCGAGGCGCTTAATTTTAACTCTCGGGGCAACTTTTATGCATTGATTTTACACTAGAACTTATTAGTTGAGCATCCGTTGCCTGGCGGTAATTCAGTTATTTTAAACATTCGCAAGTGCGCGAGGATGCGAGGAGGGAGGGCTTGTCCGAGCCGAAGAATCGAATGGTTAGCGTGGAAAACTCGTTTCTCCGATATACCCATATGACTGGTAAATTGTTGGTTTTTCACGCATAAGCTGCGTGTCTTTTAGACTTTTATCAAGAGGAATAATTAGCATAGGAAACGTTGATCTGTAGAATCGTAATTCGTCGGCGGCGGCGGCACATCACCTCGGAAACCGATCACTTTCACGATACAGAGGAAGAAAAAAAAAGGCGCGCAAGACTTTTAAAGCACGTTTACGCGAGCGCGCGAGTAAGGAAACGATACGAAAAAGACGTGCTTTCTTTCGCCTCGGCTATATAATGCACTCGCCAACACTTTTACTGAAACTGGTCCAACCGGATCGAAATCGGATCTCGTTTTCAACGCGTATGTGTTTGTGTATGTGGCCTGCAGTGCTGCGCGTTACAGCAATGACAGAAAGTTCATTCGCTCGTACGCATAATACACGCGCGCGTTCCCTTTCGTACCTTCCTGGCTATCTTTTCTTTTTACTCGTACGCGCATGATGCATGCGAGTGCACGTCGACCATCGAGGCCCTACTCTTCTCCGAATCAATAATTAATTTTCTTATTTAATTCTTTTTGTGTTTCGCTTCGCAACTGCATCTTTAACCGATTCGATCGCTCTCGCCGCTGCATTAAATTCGATGAATCAGTTTGGCGAATTTAATAGAGTTTGGGCGCGGAAAGAAGCAGATCCGCAAGCACAATTGAACCAGAGGATCTCTGCAATATCAGAGAGCGTAGCCCAGAGAAGGCAGAGGAAGGTGTTACCGATCCAAGTACCGTTTCTCTTTCTCTCGGCACGGCCCGCGCGTATATGTTCATGCACGAGTCGACGTCCACATAATAGAGTGCATACCGTATAAGTGTCTGCGAAGCAGCAGCAGCGGCAGCAGCAGCAACGGCAGAGGCGCACGGAGCGAGATACGCCCTGGCGATATATGTATAGCACGCTGCACACATAAAGTGCTGGAGCAAAGTTCCAAAGTAGCAGTAGCAGCTTCTGATATCGCGCAGAATTTCCGGTCTACGTGTCGGTTCGCGGGCTCGACTTCTCTACTATTACGTACATCCATTACAGAGAATTATTAAACGGGGCTACATACGTACACACAAACATAATACATATATAGCTGGTATATGCGTAGCTAGCAGGGGTACGTTCGGTTGCGAGCGATAGTCCCATAATATGTGCGCGAAGCATTGCAATAAATAACCCTCCCGCGTGCATCGCGGCTCGATGTAGCGAAACACACTCCGTTTCTGGCCCTGCTCGCCATTATGATGTACGGAGCGTCGAGCGGACAAATAAAGTGGAAAACTTTCAGTAGCTCGTTACGCCGATACGCGTCTGTGTACGTAAGCGACGTGTCCTCTGGGAAAAGAGTAAAAGACTCGTCGAGCTTTGTAGGACATGTAATCGCGTCGACGCGGTACTTTTTCAACTTTCAACGAGCAAATATATAATTATTGCGTCAATTAATTCGTTGAGTTCTTTCTCTCTCTCTCTCGACAAAGTAACGTTCACCTATGACTCATCGAGGAGAGATGCGACGCGAGAGAGAGAGAGAGAAAAAATGCATCATGCAGAGACAGTCTGTCACGCGTGAAAGTCGCGTCGAAGCTATTCATCTAACCCCGTGCTCCGATACGTGCAATGTACACACAAAAGTTCCGTGCGGCTGCGTATATAAATGCACGAGGCGCTTTCTCGATCGCTCGATTATAAATGCATGTATGCGCGAGCAAGGGGCGACATTTCCTCGAAATCTCGCCCGACTCGACGTGTCTATTACATAGCTGAGTGCGTGTGTGCATTATACATCGATACTATTCCGCGCAGCGCAGCCGTGTGCGTACGTATTATATATATACGAAGCCGATATAAATTCGCAACTTATGCAGGCGTATTATAGCACATATAAGTACGTACGCACACGTTGGAGCGACCAGTGATGCGCAAGTAAGAAAAATGTCGAAAAGAAACCCGCCGCGTGTAGCCCCGAATACAAGCCCGGTGGGAATGATCGTCGAAAAATGCCGATGCTCACTCGTCTGGAAGATTAACAATTTGGCGACGATCGACGGATACTTTTCACGTCTAACCATTTTCCGGCGGCACCTAGTCGCGTTCCTTTTTCGATTTGCGCGCAAGCAGACACGAGGCGTCGTCGAGTTAAACCACCTGATCGAGTTTCCTTCATATATGTATATCGTATATCGTATACGAAAATGAAAATTTAACTTTTCGTCGAGCGAGCCCTTTGACAGTTTTTCGAATGCATTAATGATTGAGCAGGAATTTTCTGAGCGTATACAAGAGTGAGTTCGAGTAATGTAACTTTTGAAGCGACACACTACCCTACGCTCGAGAAGCTTGCAAAAGTGCCCGTAGATATCACAATCGAAAAAAAAAACAATTTGATATTAAATAAATTTCCAATAATCAGACGGCAACATCGATGACGTACATAACGTAATATGTTACGTCAGTGGTGCGAGGTGGAAAATCGGTGCATCATCGTCACTCGGAGCGGTAAAAACCCTGCAAAATGCGCTGCTGCAAATGCGCGCCGATGCAGCAACGGACTGAGTTTTCTTAAGCGATGCATACAGCACTTATACACACGCGCGAGCACTGCACTCATGGACGTCCATGTAAAAGTCAGGGTCAACCGCTTTTGGTTTTACTCTCGCGCGCCTTTAAATGTCCGTAATACAATGTACGCACAGGTACACTTGGCCGACGAGTCGCCGCTACCGACGCCTTTTCGTCGGTCGCCTTTTACGATTCTGAACTTTCGATTTTATCCCAAGCTCGTCGGCATGCGCTCGCCAATTGTTGCTCCGAGAAACGTCACCGTTCACCACCGAACGCATACGTTATACACGTATGCGCGAATATAATGCAAGAGTTATAATGCGCATACGCCCAAGAGCCAAATGAGTTAGGCATCTCTCTCGTCCGCTTCTACACGGCGCATGATATACTTGTTATTTCTTTTTTCGAGCACATCTCCTGCGCTCCTGTAATGTCTACACACGGCAGCAGTAAAAGGACGAGAGTAAAAAACCATTGCAGGAGGGTAAAGAGAAAAAGATGAAGGGCCGCGGGAGAGCAAGAAAGCGAATGAAGAAGCAGCGAAAATCGAGGAGGGACCCCGAGCTGCACACAACTCTTCGCAGCTCGGTGCGAGTAGCCTGCCTGCGTGTATGTGTGTTGTTGCGTGCTATGAGTTCCTTGGACTGTGTAATTCCCTCCTGACTCGTTGATGCTCCGAATCTCTGAGGCCTCCTTTTCTTACTTTTCAATTTTTAATTCCTTCGCTATATTTATAATGACTATATAAATATACATCTCATGTACGAATTAAAAAAATATTAACTCAAACCGATTTTTTGCAGATTTCAAGCCACAACGCATGACTATAGATAAGCGAGTTCGAAGCGGTTGGTCGTGTGGGTGAGAAGACGTGGAAGAACGAGATCGTCGTTCTCGCTTTCGGCACTGACGCACGCAAGACGCTGCAACCAACATGACGGAGGACGGTAGCGGCGGCACCGACAATCCAGCCTTCAGCCACGATGAGGACACGAAAAAAGGCAATGATCAGCAGCAGCAGCAGCAGCAGCAGCAAACATCCAACGGAGGCACCACCATCACCATCGGGGAAAACGGCGGCGCCAATCACTCTGTCACGAATGGCACTAGTGCCAATTCCACCGTCAAACTAAACGGTGAGAAGAAAATCGACCTGCCCGAAGAAAATGACAGCGGCGTCGCCAATGGGGATACACCCAGGCCCAAGTTAAACGGCGTGCACAGCAATGGCAACAATAACGACAACAGTTTTCTCAATACCACCGTCACGAGTATCACCAATAATGGTAAGCAATCGTAATCAAGCTATCTCGTCTTGCAGCATCTCCAGTTTAATTTTTCTAGCGATATGAAGTAATTGTCAGCATATTGCCTTTCGCAAGATAGTTTAGTAATTTTGCGAGAATTCCAGCAATACTTATATTTTAATTATAAATAAAAATTGTAATTTACTTGTTTTTTTTTTATTCTTTTCAGATGTTAACGATAAAAAAGAACAGATTGAAGCCGTGAACCTTGAGCTTATTTCGATGAAACCTCATTCCAATAATCATCAAGCGAAAAATAAGGAAGCCTGCGTGCCGGTCGATCCTTATGAACAATACTTCGTACCTGTCAATGAACATAAGAAATATATGAGGTATAAAGTTGCTTTATTATACACGTATTATTTAAGTACTATTTTTGACTTTTGACACGATGTTCTTTGACTTGACTGAAATTGACAACTCTGAAGAAAAGAGTAAATATTACTTCAATAAATTCACGCAAGTTTAATTTATTCCGTTTTTCGAGATTTAAGATTTGACTATTGCAAAGTTTTGTTGAGAGGTACTTATGATTAGTTATTATGACCCCATAAACTGGCAGATTCCCCGAAACAGAGGTCGAAACTACTGTAGCTGGAGTCAGATTCGATTTGGGTCCGGGTGTTGGCCGCGAGGGACTCAGCCTGAGAGACCCGGCCGCCGGACTAGTCGACTATTCCCATTGGCTGAACGCTCTCAGGTATTTTTATGCCATGGGATGCTTCGTGCAATTATTTCAATCAACACTTGGATTATATATAGTACAATAATCCAATATTATTTTACACTAACTGGCTTTAATATTATATAGGGTATTAGATATTATATCAGGTATGTTTCGAGGTTTAAAATTGATACTAGAAAGACATTTCTAGTTTAGATCTTTCTATAAAAACTCAAACTAGACTGTTATTCATAAAAAAGCATCCTGGTACATGTGACTCTACTATATGAATGAACATTTTTATTACTAAAACGAAACGTCATGGTTTACCGACGCTCAAGCACCAAACGAATCTCAATATATAACCACACAAATATAAATGAATAAATACGCACTTTTGGTTGGACAGGTGCAATCAGTTTAACAATAGTGAAAAGGCTATTAATATGCAAACAACATGCTGACATTGATTCACTGCACAGCTGTACATAAAAATGCTTCATTGGACATGAACACTTTTTTCAATTGTACTTATCACTATGTAAATCTATCTAGAGTATATATCTTTTTTATTTTTTCAGAGGTGAGAAACTTTATTTGACTAAAGACAAACGGGTCACTGGCATCAATTGGAAACGAGTAGCATGCTGGGTAATTGCATTCATCGCTTTAACAGCTCTCCTTATTTTGGGCATTTTAATCGGCAGTAAGTATGAAAATTCTTTGACTAATTTGTTTAAAGTATTACAAATGTTTAATAAAAAACTTTTTTAAATTCAGCTGGTGTAATAGATAACCCAATGGCACAAAATTATTCAAAAGAAAATCAAAAAAGTTATTCACAGTCAGGCGACATCAACGTTGCAGGAAGTAGAGAAAAATCAAAAAACCCTCCTCCTAGTCCACCGCCATTCGAAATCACAACAGCATCGTGGCCAACGACCGATGAAACTTTTTACAAAATCGTACCGCAAGCACTTCAAGGAGTTATTACGTTTGATAATTTGGCTTGGGACCCTAGTATGGAGGTTGCAACGTCTAGAGTTTACAGATCAATTGCCGAAGATATTGAATTGGCCATAGCCAGAGCGTTACGTGTAAATAATAAAGAACCATCGGTAAAAATTTATTCCATATCCGAAGATGGTGAGGTGAAATTTAGGGTTCATGAACCTACTTTTGAGAAACCCGAGGATAACCTAAGTTATCTTGAAAAAAATTTCCAAGAAAATGGGAGTCGTTTATCAAGATATCACGTGAACCGAGTAATGATTTCACCCTTAGTTGACGAGTGTCGGTCTGGAATGTTGAAATGTAGTGACAGTTGTAAATATGACTCAGAAGAAGGAAAATTCGTGTGTCTGTGTCCAAATGGTAAAGAGTTGGATAAAAGTGGTTTGCAATGTATTCAAGAAAGTGCTCTCAGCGATATAAGTTTCGGTGATGGAAGAAGTTTTGGAAAGCCATCGGATGATTGGTTAGACTTTGATAAGATTGACGAAAAAGTCCCAGTGCATGAAAATGAACAACAGCCATCTGCAGAGCCAGAGCCATCTGCGGAGCCTGAACCGTCTGCAGAGCCTGAACCTTCTGCAGAACCGGAACCATCGGCAGAACCAGAACCATCTGCGGAGCCTGAGCCAGCAGCGGAACCGTCCGCAAAGCCAGAGCCATCTGCAGTACCAGAGCCAGCCGCAGAGCCTGAACCTTCTGCAGAACCGGAACCATCGGCAGAACCAGAACCATCAGCGGAGCCAGAACCAGCAGCAGAGCCAGAGCCAGCAGCGGAACCATCGGCGGAGCCCGAGCCAGCAGCGGAACCATCGGCAGAGCCGGAGCCATCTGCAGAACCAGAGCCAGCAGCAGAACCATCGGCGGAGCCAGAGCCAGCAGCAGAACCATCGGCGGAGCCAGAGCCAGCAGCGGAACCATCGGCAGAGCCGGAGCCATCTGCAGAGCCAGAGCCAGCAGCGGAGCCGGAGCCGGCAGCTGAGCCTGAAGCTAAGCCTGAACCGGTTTCGGCTTTAGAATCAGAACCGTCGATGAAGGCAGATCTAACAACAGAATCTGTACCAAAATCCGAACCAGAACCGGCAGCAGAGCCGGAGCCATCTGCCGAGCCAGAACCATCGGCGGAGCCCGAGCCATCTGCAGAGCCAGAACCATCGGCGGAGCCGGAGCCATCTGCAGAGCCAGAACCTGCCGCTGAACCTGAAGCTAAACTAGAGCCAGAAACGGCTGCAGAGCCAAAATCTGCTGCAGAACCAGAAACGGTTGCTGAGCCGGAGCCAGCCGCTGAACCGGAACCAGCAGCAGAGCCAGAGCCATCGTCAGACCTTAAGTCTGAGCTCGCTATTACACCAAAACATACTGCAGAACCGGAGTTATCCACATTATCATCTTTATCAGTTGACATCAATATGTCAAAAAACAATGTTGAGTCATTAAAAAAGAGCGAAGAAAGCGCTGACGATCAGTATAACAATATTATCGATGATCCTATCGGAAGCAATGACATTAATGTTTCGAAGAACGTCAAGAAGAACGATAAAAAAACTCAAAAATCGTACAAAGAGCATAAAAGCGTTGATTACATTAATGCTAAAGTCGATAGCGAACGTATAAATAAATCTTTATCTCAAGAGGTGTCTACTTCAACTGAGAGTGGATATCGTGATCATTCAGAAGATGCAAGCATGACTTCTCAAATTCCCATAATGCCTTTCGAAATACAACTCGATATATCAACGACTGAAAGTATCGATAGAACTACTCAATCAGTTTTCCAAAATTTAGATAAAGAAAGTATCACTACTACTATAGAACCGTTGATGTCGCATTCTGAGGGAACTACTACAGCTCAAATTCCAGTGATGCCCGAGGAACTGTCAACGACTGAAGTTAATAAATTAGAACAACAAGTTGGAACAACTATGACGTCCACAATGGATCAAACCGTAGAAACAACAACTATGAAAGATAGTGAAATCGTTGAGATGGAACCAGAAACAACCACCATCATCAACGATTTTGTTGAAATGTTTGAAATGGACAAAGCTATGAATTTAGATATAAAACCTGTCTCTGAAATGATTCCAGATGACACTACACCACAAACTATGATATACATGCCACAATCGACAGAAAGAAGTGATTCCAATATTGATACTTTAGCTCCAACGATGGAATTGATAAATAATGTTCAAGATGATCAGAAAATGAAAAGTAAAAAACAAAAAGAACTGGATCTCAGCGAAGTTGATATGGAAGTAACAATGACGACAATGGAAACCCCAGTTGACAATACCAGTAAAGAAACGATCGACATTAGTGATAACTCAAGTGACACAGAGAGTGTCGTTTCCATTACCAGTCAAGTCCCAACCTTTATTCCTGTCAATGAAGATATCGACGAACCAGAAATGACACCACGAAATCAACCTTTTATGACAACAATTATGCCAATGGAAGCCGAAGAAAATGTAACTTTAAAACCAGAAAGTACATTAACTTCAGAACGAGAAATAATTACGAGTACCGAAAAATTAATCGAAAAGATGACTGAACAAAGCGAACCGAGCTTCGTCAAAGTCGAAAGTACTACGCGAGTACTTCTTTCCAAGTGTTCAAGTGGTCAATTCCAGTGTGTGAATGGAACTTCGAGAGATGGAGCTTACTGTGTGAATCTCTCGGCTAAGTGTGATTCAGAAAATGATTGCTCTGATGGGTCAGACGAACTGAATTGCGAAGAAGAAGGCTGTCCTGGAAATTTCCAATGTGCAAGCGGTCAGTGCCTGAAGCGAAATTTAGTATGTAATGGCATAGTCGATTGTAATGACGGTAGTGATGAGAAAAACTGCGGTAATTGGACCTGCAATTTCGATGAATTTGAATGTCCTGATGGTAAAGTACTCACTTGTTTATGAAAATGTCTTTTCAACATAAAAATTAATTGTTTTTCCTCTTACTTTACAGGAAGATGTATTCCCTCTCTGTGGAAGTGCGACGGTCGCCCAGATTGCGAAGATCATTCCGATGAATATTCGTGCTCTGAAAGCTGCAGTAACGACGAGTACCTATGTCCTACTGAAAAATGGTGTGTACCATTGACTTGGCGCTGCAATGGAATATCCGAATGTGTCGATGGAGAAGACGAAAAATTGTGCGAATGTTCTGTGGATCAATTCAAATGTGAAACTGGTGGATGTATTCCAACTGAACAAATGTGCGATGGCATTGACAATTGCCCGGACCGATCCGATGAATGGAATTGCTTGAGGGGTGGTTTTAACAGAAATTCATCCGTCGCCACAGAAATCAATAGCGATGCTTCCAATCGCAACTATCTCATAAGAATCAAGCAATCAAGTGATGAATACAGGCACGTTTGCTCGGATGAATGGTCATCTAAATTTAGCGATATTTATTGCAAAAGTTTAGGATTCGCTGCAGCTGATTCAACTGTGTATGTCGAACAGAGCACGAATGAAAAGTTCGTTAAACTTCTAGCTAATGCCAATCCCAACAAACCCTTCTTGTCTAATTTCGAAAAAACGAGTGATTGTAAGTCTGAAAAAATCGTCAGCGTTTCGTGTCAAGAATTCACGTGTGGATCTCACGAGAACGTCGGACACTCTGCGAGACTTGCTGGAGGCACTCCAGTTGGCGCAGGCCAGTGGTCCAGCGTTGCTTTATTGAAGGAACCAAAACATGGAACTGCTTGTACAGCTAGTGTACTCAGTCCCATGCATGCTTTAGCTAGTTACTCCTGTATTCATAGGTAAAATTGAAAAAGTATCATCATCATAAAAATTAGCTAAAAATAGACAATTTTGAACTGACGATTAAATTTTTATTTTTAGTTTAAGACAAAGTACTGGATGGCAGCTATTTGTCGGCGGTAATCTATTGAAACCGCTTCAAGTCAAAAATATTGTGCCTTACCCTCAAGTCAAATATAATCAATTTTTATATAATAATGATATAGCCCTGATTGTACTGGAAGAACCAATGGTCTTCTCAGCGAACGTTAGTGCAGCGTGTTTACCAACCCAAACGATCACGGTATACCATGAACAGAAATTACAGTAAAAATATTCAATAAAAATAGACAATTACAGTGCATTTTTTTCAATATTATAGCCTCAACAATTATGCGTTACTGCCGGTTGGGGATTCCCTATGGACGGAGACATGAATTTGCAACAATATCTGAAATTCTTGCCCATTCCAACTTACAATTCTGAGGAGTGCAATGCAACAAGCCATTACGCAGGCTTCATCAGGAAAGATCACATATGTGCTGGGTATACCGATAGCGATAAGGGACCTTGTTATGTGAGTTGACTTATAAATAATTTTTAAACCCTTAATTAACGATATTTAATGATAAAAAATATTTTTATAGAACGATGAAGGAGCACCGCTTATGTGCGTAAACGGCAAATTGGAAAACGATACCGGCAGATGGGAAATTCAAGGTTTACTCAGTCATCATAGTCGGTGTTCGAGGGGACACCCTGCAATCTACTCGAGTTTAGCACCGGCTCTTTCGTGGCTGCGAAATTCTGTGCCAGCACTGTAAACTCAATAGATTCAATTTGAAGAGAAAAATTAATGAACATCTGTATAAAGTTAGACATAAATCTTTTTATCAAGAAATAAGATTATGCATTCGTGATAGGACTTTGATGTCGAAGTTTTCACGTGCCAAAATTTATTTTACTATTTTTTCGAAAAATCCAACAATGAAAAATGTTTCAAATTCAACTAATTGATTATTATACTCGAGCTTCGGCAAACTGATGTAAATAATGTATAAAATATAGCCAATAGCCTTAGAATATGAAAAATTATATTCTATATCAATTTTTACACATTAAACTAGTAAAAAAATATGTAAAATAAGTTGATTTATTGCAGAAGCAGGAGAGATTATTTTTGAGAATCCTTAGATTTTGATTTCTGTGAAAAAAAAGTCATGAAAGATGATGTATATAAAATGATAGCGTTTAATGAAATTAAGTAAATTGTTATAGTTATTTTATTATAAAATATTAAATAATTTATATTTAGTCATTACTATATGTGAAAATATTTTATAACATACAAATAATAAAAGTCCTTAAATTTTTTTGTAAAACCAAGGTATTTAATTATTATAACACTGTTAAAATATAATCTCATTCTTACAAACTAAGGCGTTATATTTATTTAATCCAATATTTTCTTGGGCTCAGCCGCTTTTTCAAATTTAGATACTTCATCGTCTAAAATAATTAATGTTTTGGAAATATTCAACATAATTTCGTTGTACCTGGATATCATTTCCCTGGTTTCACTATTTACTTGCTCTACGTCATCTGCAATTTCAATATATTTTAATGATACTTTATGCAGTCTCTCTTCCATTTCTGGTAAATTTGACAAAGAATTACTATCCAGCACTGACAGCAACTCTTTTAATTGATTAAATTGTTCTACGGTTTGTCTTATTTCTGGTTCTACTGCTAAAATATATTCTACTTTCATATCTGTATTTAAATCGGATGGTTCAAAATCAGTTTCTGTGAAGCTCTCTAGTTCTGGTAATCGTTGAATAAGTGAATTAATTTTTTCTCTGCCCGACAAGGCTGAGGTTATCAGCGTATAAGCAGAATTATAATTATCTATAATGCTGCTGTCTGGCAACGAGGTTTCTATTCCTTTTTTCATGTCTAAACCATAAATTCTCTTCTCCAATTCAGCAATTCTATCTTCCAAAACATCTTCTGCAGTGAAGCTGAAAATTAAAAAGAAAATAAAAATTAAATAGTGTTGTGCATTATATCAAATGATGATGTGTATATTAAACTTGAAAGAAAAATTTACCTCATTTTGAGACTTGAAATATATATTTTTCACTCAATACTTTGATCTTTAATGATTAGCAAGTAAAGTATTTACACAGTGTATAATATCAGTAATTGCAACAATAATTGATAGAAATTCACAATTTAAAACACAAAACAAATAGCAGAATGCTCTAATTTCTCTTAAGAATGACACTTTGAGACAGACGATTCAGAAACACTGCTACACAATAACACTAATAATAATAACCGTGAAGTTGACTAGTGTGCGAAACAAGTTGCGGTCTGTAATCTGCACAGTGTCGCCACTCGTCACAGATGCGATTTTGGCGGCAGTTTCAAAATATTTGCAAGAGCAAAATATGGTATACACTGATAACAATAAAAAGGTTGAACTTCGAAATATATTGATTGTCAACATTTTTCCATGAGTAATACGCTGTATATATTGGAAGTATTTCTTTTTTTTTTAATATCCACTGAAAAAATATCACGTTCTTACATATAAATCGCCTACAATCGCATATGTAAAAAAAAATTTTACTGGATGGGGTCGAGAAAATGTCGATAGTAAAAAATAAAAGAGAACTGAAGAACAAATTACAAAGATTACAGTGAGATGCTTGTTATAATATTTTATACGGACGCTCTCATAGTGTAAAAAATTATAATAAGTGTAAGATGATAAAATACCCTTGAGCAAATACATGCAGTCGTGATTATCTCATGTTGAATAATTTGCCAGGGCAGGTTGGCGATTATTTGCACGAAATTCGCTCGCTCGAACGAGCCGGATAAGTGCGTAGGTGAAATTTTCTCACATAAGTGCATTACGCGCATACATAGCTGGATGTGCGTGCGTGTGTCGTCGTGCGCGTACTTGAAGTGCGAGTCGCAATGCATATACACTACAGGGAGTATTTTCCGACGATTCTCTCGGCTGCAGAGAGCGAGCAATAAAACGAGATAGAAAGTTGCCGCTGATGCAGAGACGCGCGCGGGCGAGTGGCAACAAAAAAAGCAGGGAGCACAAGTGCTTCGCGTGTGCATACACATATATCTATGTATGTGTATGTACAGAGGCGACGAGTGTACGTGCTATACGTGCTGCACTTGAAACGAAACGTAACACAGAAGAAGAAAAAGAAGAAGCGGGAGAGAGAGAGAGAGAGGACATGTGTCAAAGAACCCGACTGTATACTCAATAAAGCAAAGAGCGCGCCTGAGAATATACAAGAGGAGCCTCTGTAATGTGTCCGCATGTCTATGTGTGCGCGAGTGTACATTTTATATAGGAATGAAAAGAGAGACCGGGCAAGATTGTAGGGTCCTCTCGACGACAGGGCTGCACGACGTCGACTGCGACGCTCGACGATGCCGCTGCGTGTACATAAGAAAACGATAGAAAAAGGTCGCTCCCAGGCACAGCCTTGTATTCACCGTAGCGCCGGTCTTATATTCACTGCACCCTTTTTACACTCTAATAATAGAGAGCAGTACACGACGGGGCGACGGCGGCGGCGACGCCGATGAATGCAGATATACGCGATGGCCCGCTATATATAAGTAATTCGAGGATCAATTCTGGACTCGTGCTGCGCGCCCGCCAGCTCAATGGAGCTTCGTTAGCTGAACATTTGCTATAGCTGCGCGCGTCCCGCATAATTTCTCACTTAATCCGCTAAATTGATGCCAGTTTTAGTTTACGCGATCGTGAACGCGCATAAAAAGCTTGGAACAAGCGCTACATAATTACACTTGCAAATGCAAAAAAGGGCTTCGAATTTTGCGAGCTTTATAGTAGCCGACGCGTGCCATCGATCGAATTCGACGCTCGCACAGCTCGCAAACGACATGAATTCGATATTTCATTTATAGCTGCGGCTGCAGATCAAATTAATAATACGATAAAGCAAAAATAGAATGTAGAGCAGAGCTTTTTCCAACTCTCCAGATGGAAAATTCATGAGCGGAGTACGCGGACTAGAAATTGTAATTACTCGACATGTATAACGATCCGTTTGAAATTGCATATCGAAGCTCAGTCGCATAATACCTCATCTATTTGGGATGTGTTCATATGACTACACGTAAGCCGCAATTTTTCCGCATATAGCAAAGTTGAAGTACGTATCCGAGTAACTCTCTGCGCGACTGAATATTTTCGTTTTTGCTGCAGCTCGACGCTATATATACGAGCAGCTCTGCGTTGCCGCTATGCCGTCTCGAGTGTTTTGCTCGCTTTTAAGGAGACGCGACGAGGATTTAAACGTCTTTATGCGTTCTGTACATCTCTTGCAGAATACTTGAGACTTTTCGACATTCCGAGCATGATCGCATTTCAGAAATGTAGTTCAGTTGCGCAATAGCTTTACATAGATGCCTATGCAGCGAAAAAACTTTTATTTCCCCGGCTATAAAGTTCCGACGAGCTAAAGACTCCGGTGTAGGAGCTTAGAAAAATAAAACATACAAATCTCTCAATAACATATGAGCCGATCCACCGAATGAGTCGTTCGTCAAACTGTGTCGCGAGTCGAGACCAATCACCTACACATAGCTTATAAAATTGGCCAAATTTCTGCCTTCTTCTCAAGATAATTACATCGATACGACTTAATTAGTGGCAATTCGTTATCGAACGGCTGCCTATAAATAGGATTCGGAATCACTAATGGGTTTGGACTTAATCAAACGAGACGCCGGTTAGAAACAGTTTTTATCTCCGCAAAGACGTTTTTCGTGTTACTCGATGTTTTATCTCTCTGCCGAAGAGATTGCAGCCGTCTTATTGTTGTCTGCAGGCGTATTTTTGGCAGAATATGTTAATGGAAATTCACCAAAATATAAATCGATTGCGGACTCGTTTCATTGGAACTGTAGTCGCTTCTCATGAAACAATCGATCCTATGAATTTCCGTTAAACGTAAAGTATACGCTTATAAAAAAAAAAAGGAGAATGAGTTTACTCAGGTTCGCACACTCTTATGTCTGCAAGTCGTAATAACGTTTCCCTCGCAGCCGGAGCTGTTGCCGCTGTAAAAAGCTGTATATGGAGTAGTTTACCTGAGGTGCAGTTTACATCCGATCATATAGTCTGGGGACAATATAGGCGAAATCCAAGCCCTCCGGTGCACGACACAGAGCGACGAGCAAACACAATCGCATATTATACCGAATGTGCCTATATATCCGTGTGGCGAGAAGCCGAGAAGCCGCGCGACGACCAACGTAGCCCAAGCGCACACATATCCGGAGGGGTTAGTAGACGGTGGTAAGCTATATACATTGCCAACTTGTGTGCTGCACTTATCAACCGCAGCCAAAATTCTTCAAAAGAAACCCGTGCCCAGAGCAGCGTAAAGGGGGCAAGCGCCGAGCCCGTCGTCTATCTGCGATCTCTCGTGGCTTTGCTGCCTTCCTCTTCTTCCCTCCCACCTCGTCGTTCTCCGCGCCTCTATGTGCGAATGCAGCACGTCGCTGCTGTCTCCTCCAGTCGCGCAGTTTCGCACAGAGTCGTGTATGTGCTACGGCGGCGGGCCGCTCAGTCGTTGCCCAGACGTCGCGTCTCTCGCAGCAGCAGCACAATTCGGCTCGGCGCTCGGCCTCGACGCGTCGTCATACTATTAATAGTGTGCGCACACACGCACACGCACCTATACCTCGTTTATACACTTTCTCACAAGTGACTTCTGACCGCGAGTGCATGCCAAATCACGCGCGTAAAAAAGCCATGCAGTTTATCCAGTGCAGCTGGCATTAGCAACTGGTCTCTAGCGATCGCTCTCTTCATTTGTGAGTCGAGTTTAAGATTTAAGATGCACGATGCACCCCAGCTGCGTGGGCCAACGCCAGACGCAGCATCATCGGGAGGATGATAATGAGCAACGCGATTATCAAAAAACAACAAAAACAAGGAGACAACGACGCACGAATCGCTCGGGATATTGGCGTTTTATCGTCGTCGGGCAACGAGCGGCTGCTGCTCACCACTTCTGACGCCGATGTTGATGACGACGATCAGTTAATACGAGAGCAGCAGCAGCTGGCGGCGACGATGATGAACTTCGGCAACGAGGCCGCTCGCCAGCCGAACAACAAGCTTCGGACCGTCATAGGCATTTGCATACTGCTCGCCGTGGCCGGTATGCTCTACCTTGGCTACTTCTGCCCTGATCACGTTTGCGCTCTGAGTTCGCGAGACCGCAGCGCTGAAAAGGAGTCCACCGCGAGGTTCATCGGCCCTTCGGACCCTTTGCTACCTCGTGAGTACCCTTTCTTTGCGCATCGATTTCTTACGTGCACTCTTCACAGTATTGACCGTTACCACAATACGCAATTATGACCTGGCTCTATAGAAACTAAAGAGCTTTTCCTCGTATTTATCTAACTGGAAATTTCATGATTGCTTCTTCTTACTCGCGTGACATTTGATTTATACGCATGCACACAAGATACTGCTTGTACGAGGAAAACTGCCGCGCTTTAGATAGTTTGAATAAACGTTTCTACTTTGCATTAAACTTTTTTTACCTTGATAACAACATATTCCCTTGTTTATATGAATGTTACAGATAATAACATGTTAGGCCTACCATCTAATTCGCTGGAGTCTGAGAAGAATAATGTTGTACCTGTACATCCTGTTTTTAAATTACAAAGCCTTCAGGGAAATCTTGGCTATGATAGTATCTTTCTCAATGATTCCTTCCAATTTGATATCAATGCTAATGACGTTATGGTTTTCTTGCATATACAAAAGACTGGTATGTATTTATTCATTTCTATATTAAACAGTCTATATATACTTGAGCTAATTTTAGAACATGTAACTCAGTGTTTTGTTTAAAATCTATTCCAAAATTAGTTCTCAAGGCTTTATCTTGTAATATAATAACTGACCAATTATGTACTTCGATAGGTGGTACTTCATTTGGTAAGCACTTGGTTCGTGATCTTGATCTTCAAAGGCCATGCTCGTGTCAGAGGCGCCGAAAGCGTTGCTTCTGCTTCCGTCCAAATAAAAATGAAAATTGGCTTTTCTCTAGATATTCCACAGGCTGGAAGTGTGGCTTACATGCTGATTGGACTGAACTAATAAATTGTGTAGATTCTGAATTGAATAAGATTGAAGGAGATAATAAGAGGAGATATTTTTACATTACTATTATTCGCCATCCAGTAGCAAGATATTTATCTGAATTTAAGCATGTTCAAAGAGGAGCTACTTGGAGAGGGGCTAGGCATTGGTGTGGTGGCACAGAAGCTAAAATACCTCAATGCTATTCTGGCCCAAATTGGAAAGGAGTAACATTAGAAGAGGTACTTAAAACGTTAAATAATATGTTATTATTTATAAAACTATTCATATCAATTTTGTAACACATTTTTCTGTTCGATTGCAGTTCATGGCCTGTCCAAACAATTTGGCTAACAATCGACAAACAAGAATGTTAGCCGACCTATCACTTGTTGGTTGTTATAACAATTCGTCATTAAGTAAAGCAGATCGAGATAGACTCATGTTAGCTAGTGCAAAACGTAATTTGAAGTATATGCCATTTTTTATGCTCACAGAATATCAGAAGGTACAACATTTAAATATAAAATTGATTTAATTAGAATTGTATTCAAGTGCTGTAAAATTTATACATTTTTTTAAATTCATATAATTTGTCACATTTTAATCCATATGAAAACAACTAACACCCTTTTTTCTCTTTCTCCATGATCACATTTTTCACACATTTTTATCTTTAAGTGCTCTAACATTTCTCAATGACTTATGCATTTGTTTTTGTGATTATACAAAATTAAAATGTTATGAATCTCTGATGAATATTATCTTTAAGAGTGATTAATTTAACATCTTCAAGAAATGTAAATTTTCTTGAAGAAAACACTTTTATTTTCATGTAGATTATTTAATATGCAAGATAATACTCTCATTTATTATCAACAGAAAAAGAAATTAAAATTTGTGAAATGATTTTTTTTCTTTGTGTCTTATATAATATATTTTAATCTCGTTAAAAATGTGAATGTATATTGTTAAAATTGTCACTATTATCAGGTGGGGCAATATTCATTCGAGGAAACTTTTGGAATGAGATTTGCTGTAGCATTTGAGCAGCATAACACAACACTTAGTGCTGCAACAATGGAAAAATTGAGTAAAGAACAATTAGATGCGATTGAAAAACTCAACAAGTTAGATATTGAACTTTACGAGTATGCAACTACTTTGGCCTTTCAAAGGTTTCGACATCTGCGCGATCGAGATCCTTATTTCGTAAAACGGTTTCAACATCTTGGGGAGCTGCCGTCCCGACAAAGCATCACCGAATTTAATTGGGATTCTGTGATAGAAGATACAACGGACATTGACTAAAACTGTTGTGCATTACAAATAATCATCACAAAAGCAGATTGTGAAAAATAGATTTTAACTTGTATAAAGTTTATTGAAATAAGTTTTATGCAGCCTAATTACATTTCTTAAGATTATGTTTTTATCAATTTAAATAGCAAAGCTGACGAAAAAATGAATTGTATTGCAACTTAAGGGAATACTGCAGCTAGTATGAAAATGAACTTGTTTAAATACATTAAATTAAATTTTTCATAAATGTTTTTTAAAAAGTTCTATAGTGACTTGAAAAACAACAGAATAAAATTCATTATGAAAATTTTTTGAAAAATAGAATCATTTTCATTTTCACATTAGATTCGGGGTATCCTCTTCATTAGAAAAACTAGTGCTACAGTTGTAAACATTTTCTAAAATGATCTGGTTTAAAGAATTCTGTGACTAGGTACTATTAGCAAATATTGTACTTGTAAAAAAAATTTCAGGTAAACCAAAGAAAAATTGTATAAGTATAGGCCCAATATTAGATGCGAGTTTGTAACAGTTATTAAAGAGATGCCGAAATCAGAATAATCATGACAAATTAAAATGCGTTTTGTGAGATTTTAACTTCGTATTTTTCAATTTAATGACGTAAAATTTTTAAAGAAAAATAAATCGCTTAAAATCTTTGTCACGGATTTGAAAATTAACGTAAAGCTGCCTTCGACATCTCAAATTTTGAATCCGTAAGGGATATTTGTAATGATTTTTGAGAAAGAGCTTTTAATACTTAGTTGTAATATTTTAATTGTAAATCTTTACAAAGATCTTCCATAAATACGCACATAATATTTATGAGTCATGCAAGGGTCTGTCATATGAAGTATTTTGACCATATTCACAGATTTAAATCAACTTCGATAATCTGCCATCCAAATTAAAAATGTGCCATCACTCTATTCAATAAGAAACTAAATTTTTAATTGTTGTAATTGAATTAATTCACCATGTACCACTTGGAAGTTTTTACATAATAATTGTCAATGCATTTTTTGATGCAATCGAATACTCCTAAAATTTGTGATACATGTTGATATATCATCTTCAACTCTAAAAGTATTAATAAGACAAGGCAATGATAAAAATTATTTGTGTAATCAGTGAATACAATTTTACTAAAACCAAACTTGTTAATAATTCAAATCAACTTGAAGTTTCTTGTATTCTTCCAAATTAAAATGTTATTGTGAAGTTTGTAAAATTTAAGTATCTTTCAACAGTACAACTATATCAATTTTTATATTGCTCTTGTGTGTGTGTCGATGTGCATCGATAATTGTTACTCACCGATAAAATTAGGGCCTTGAAAGATCTCAGGATTAAAGGTTTAATTAGATTTATTCTTTACCATTGATTGTAATTATTAAATAGGCTACATTTTATACTCAAAGCTTTAAAACTTATTATCGAAATTGTAAATATTCAAATTGAAGCGAGGAAGTTTGAAGTCAGAGATTTTATCAGTTAAAAATTTTTATTGTTTGAAATTCATTTTAAATGAAAAATTTTTATTAACATCTAGTATACGTAAGAAAATGTCATCGTTTATGATGCGTAGAAGTTAAAAGTGTATTTCGAAATGAATATATTTATTTATTGTAAAAGATAAATACTTCGAAAATTTGAGCCTAAGATTGACATAATTATGTTTTTAAAATTGTGATTCACTCGTTAAGTGTAAGTAGTATACTGTAAAAAGAATTTTGGCTCTCATAACAGCTAAAATTCCTGTAAACATAAACAATCTAAGAAAGTTGATTCATTGAAAATTAATGCGAAAAAAAGTAACATAAGATAATAATGAATACTCAACAATAAATGTTGGTATGTGCAATAAGACTCTATATGTTACCAAAATGATAATATATATCAACTGATATATCATGAAAATACAATTTTCGTAAAATAGTTCAAGTATTTCAAATATCAACTAATTTTTTATTGCAAACAACTTATACACATCTAATGAACTTTGCTCAATGCTTAAAAATACGATATTATCATTAAATTTTTTTTTATATTTCTACATGAAATGTGAATTGACCCACCAGTGTCCATTTTTTGTTTTTGTACAGTTAAAAATGAATTCCAAAAATTTAATCTCAAGGACCAAAGATACACTTATTTTTTTGCTCATTCTGAAATTCTTTTTGTACAGTTGTAAAAATTTTACAATGCTTTATCTTGATTCGTATCACCAGAAACTCATAAAAAGTTTCTACAGTCATTTGAATAAGAAACAATTCACTTTTTACTGCATTTAGCAAAAAAAATATTGCACATATGATTTGAGCCAATGTAAAAAATGTAACAACAGTGCCATAAGAAAATTTTATATTTATTAACAAGTATATTGGCAATTAAAAATTGTAGATTGAAAAGTAAGTAATCAGACATTATAGAAAGTTGGGAATTCATTTAAGTAATTAAAAATGAAAATATAATTAAAAATGCGACGATAACAATGAAAATTAAGCCATGTAATATGTTGTACTTTTTCAGAACAATGATGGAATTATCAAATACAAAATTTAAAACTGCTAAAAGAATTAAATGAAAGTGGAGTATTAATGAACACATGACATATGCCTAATGTAATTAATGAAAATTCCATTTTAAAAATTGTAAATAGTGTAATGTTTAAAATAAGTATTACTAATCATTGAGTTGACAAAAATTCATTCATGGAATGTTAACATGATTATATTTAGGACTTGGGTATACAAATAAACATCACAAATGAAAGATTGATAATTTGTTTCTTTATGTATATCTTTTAATAAATTCAAAAATGGATTCAAATTTGTTTTTTTTTCCATTTTCCCTAAATATATTTTTATTTCTCACATATGTATTGTAAAAAAAATAGATATTCTGCTTCAATCTGGTTCTGGTATTTTTCATAAATATTTTTTAGTATCATTTGCATGGTTTTACATTGCAATTAAATGACACACTAAATAGTAAAATAATAAGTATTGATTAATTATTTGTTAAAGCTTTCTTCAATTTTGTGTTTTACATTTCATGAAAGTTAAATGTTGTGTATTTATAAAATTAAGAAGAGAAGGAACTTGTGACTTTTCAGATCAACACTTATTATTGTTCTATGTAATTATCAACAATTTTCTAATTAAGAGGCTAAATAAAATGTAATTATCTTTTGCATCTTTTGCATGTTTCAGTATTTACTTCAATAAATACTAGGCTTTTTCTATTTTTAAATAAATGCAGCAACTGTTATACATCTAAAAATGCTTATTATCACTGTCATGTTTTTTTAGAATTAATAAAAAAAAAGCTTTAAATAAGACAAAAAAGCACTTCCATTATAGCAATGACTGCTCTAACATAATTTTATCAAAGCCCATCGGAGGTGTGTACACAAAATTTTCTACAATCAGATCTAAAATTGCTCCATTGTCAACTGTGAATAAGATAAGAACTATGAGTTGAAAATTATCATTAAAAAATAAATCAATCAAAATGAATTGTACCATGAAGAGCAGGAAAAGTTGTTCCCTTAATACCAATCACAGGTACTTCTAAAGATTTTCCATTCAAGTAAAAGTTCAACTCTACATGATCATAACTGACACCCTAAAAATTGAATTTATGATTTAATCTTATTAAATAAATAATTTTGCAAAAGTTTTTTAAAATTTAATGCTTACAATAATATCTCCTTCTTGAAATGATTCTTTTTGTAATTTATGTATCTGCACTTTATTGTGTTTAACTTCTCCCAGCGAATCTAAACACCAGCTTTCACTATCATCGCCCCCACAAGATTCCAAATTTGTAGACCTTGATGCGATACCAACACTCCAATATCCATCTTGCAGTATTTTTACTTCAAAATAACTTTTACTTTGAATAAGAGGAGCGTTACCCAGCACTCCACCGCGACCACAAACTCTGCTAGCATTCTTTAACAAAACAACTTCTTGACCTGGATTGAAGTAATGATGTTAAATATAAAATTTAATGAAAGTAATATAAGCTTGTAAGAAAGATGAAGATAACTACTAGATATTTAACAAGATTGATGCTCTTATAAGGTTTGAAAAAGATATTAAATTCACTTACATGCAAATTCATCATCCAAGCAAATTACATTTTCCCTTTCTTTTTTTTCCATTTCATGTTGAGCAGATACAAGTCTGAAACTGTCGAAACAATTTCTGAAGCAAGAAGCAATAAACATGTCAAAGGCAAAAGTGTTGACACTTTTGAGCCAACTACTTGTAACACTTTATACAGATGCGAAGCTCTTATGTTGCTACCGAAACGGAGAAAAGACTCTCCACATTTCATACAAAGTAATAGTTTGTTCGCAATACAATATATCTTTATATGATTTAAAAACTTTTTGACAACAATCAAAACGTCAGATTTCAATAAAACGCATTACTATCACATCACGTATCGCAGTACGTGAGCGTGTGACGCTTATTGGTTTCTAACTCAACTGCGTGTTGTGTAGCAGCGCCTCTCGCCAATGGTCCATTCACCTGTGGTCATCATGTGCACTAGTGTATCATAATAATAAGCAGTTGCCAGTGTTTACACATGGCTACAGTATTTACTCGTTGCTCAAACTACAAACTAGTGACAGCAGTGTTGGGCACGAATTCGCAATTAAAAATTTATTAAAAATATTATAGTTATTTGATTCATACAAGTTATCTCATTAAGATCTTGAATTTTTATTTTGGAAGTTGTTATAAACATTGAGTATCATGTCAAAGAGAGAAGTAGCAACGTATAAAGATGATCATCAACATGATTTAGAGGGGCAATTTATAATGCGTCTTCCCGAAGTAAGTTTTTACTATTTTATTGAAGGAATATTTTTCGCAAGTCAATTATTCGTCAACTTTATTTCATAGGAACCGGCAAAGCAATTGAGGGAAGTATTACAAAATGGTTTACCTTTAAAAGATAGGTTAGGTATTAGATTAGAAAATGATTTAAGGTACGGGGAAGTAAGATTTGATAACTGGACTTTCCATGCCAAAGTAAGTGTTTTTTATATCATGCACTTATTTACTACTTATTTCTACATATTTTTATCATTTTTACTTTAGGTTGTTGATTTACCAACAATTGTGGAATCTCTGAAAACGATTGACAATAAAAGTTTCTACAAAACTGCAGATATTTGTCAAGTATGAAAAATTATTCAAATGTAACTGATTTTTAAGTATAGATTCATGTATTAACTTTTTCAATAAAACTGATTATTTTAGATACTAATTTGCAAAGAAGAAGATGATGTTTCAAATACTGAAGATGAAACAAACATCAAACAAAAGAAAAAAGATCCTTTGAAAGTTGATAAAAAGTTTTTGTGGCCTCATGGGATAACACCACCAACGAAAAATGTTAGGAAAAGAAGATTTAGAAAAATTCTCAAAAAAAAGTATGTTGAAGCACCTGAAATAGAAAAAGAGGTTAAACGAATTTTAAAAAATGATCTTGAAGCAGTGGATGTAAAATGGGAGGTGATATGCGAAGACGAAGATCAAACAAAACCAAATCTTGTTTCCTCAAGTGAATTAGTAGAACCCAAGATTGAAAACGTAAATGATGCCTCTCAAAGTGTAGATGTTGGTAAGTATTGTTATTAACCATTTCAAATATAAAAAAAACTGCTCTCGTTTACATTTACAAATTATTCATTTAATTTTTGTTTTTATAGCCGAACATGATATTTTTGGAGGAGCTGTCAGTGACAGCGATGAAGAAGACGAAGCCCCAATTAATGTTATTGATATTGACGAAACTAGTCATTTATCAGCTGATAGCAGAACAGCTGATTCTAATTCTATACATCCTGCACACATGGAACAATCTACTAATGAACCAACGACAAGCAAGGGTCCTTTAGTCATAGAATTTACAAAAGAAATGTTTACAACTGAAGAATCAATAAATGATGTTAAAATGGAAATTGAAGAAGAGATAATTCCTAAAGTAGAACCAAAGTATGACAGTTATGAAGCATCAGAAAGTTACTCAGAATCTCAAAATGCCAGCATGAATCCAGGTCAGTTCAAAATTGAATTAAAATATTTAATTTTACTTCATCACAAAAATTAACGAAAAAAATACTACTGTAATATTTTCTTATAGATATGATTCAAGAACGTCGTGAACAATTACAATCAGAACTCGCCACACTGCAAAAACAAAGACAACAACAGGAAGAAACATTGTCAACAATCGAAAATCAAAGATTAAGAGAACGCTTCAGAGAAATTATAGATAATTTACTTATGCAAGAAGCTCAAAAAATTCAAGAGGTAATTGAACTCATATAATCTTTGCTTTGTAAGTTGATAATAGTAAATAATTTGATTATGTGTTTTTTTACAGCTTCAAGAACTGGAAATGGTCAATTAATTATAAGCTACAGTACTAACTTTTTTACATCAAACAGTATTGTTTAAAATCGTGATTAGAATTGTTATTAGAAGTAGAAAATCAAACATCTTTACTATCTTTATCAAAATGTAAAACAGCCCTATAATCTATTGCGGGACAATCAGATCTTCTAAATCGAAAATAGTAGTGTTTTTTATTTAATTTCTAATACTTTAGAAAAATTTATTTAATAAATTGAGTTTATAGTTTTAACATTAATTGACTTTTCATAAAAGGGATATTCCGATTTTGATTGCAGGCATCTTGATTCACTGCAAATGTCACTTAAATTCAAAATTCATGTTAGTTTATGTTTTTTGTTTTTGTATTTATCTTTTTTAAATAAAAATCATCACAAAGTCAAGAGTGACTAATGTACAATTATTTGTGAAAAAAATCAAACTATATAACAGTGTATACTTATTTTTTTCAATATATATTTACGAAAAATGTTACCAATAATATGAGCTTATCATAAAGTTTGACTAATTTTCGCAAAAGAACTATGTAATGATCATAAAAAAATAAATAATACATCAATTTTTATATTGAAATAATAAATTTTCTATAAACAAAAAAACTGTGGAAATCGAGGCACTGGGTATACTCTAGTTTTTAACGAAGGATCGAGTTAAAAGCTTGCCTTATGTATGAATGGATATCATAGTCGATAATATGATCGAACGGAAGTAACGTTCCAGTTATATTTTTTAAGTTCAACTTTTACATTGGCTAGTATATAATGTATGATAGAACGCCGTTTAAGTTAGGGAGAGGGACTGACTTGGATGCCGATATTAGGGGAATAGGTAATTGACATGCTCTCAAGCAATTTACCAAGGACGGATTTGCTTCATAATTTTATACATACACATGTGCACATTATGCAATGCATCTCTGACGAAAGAACTTGATAACTGTCGGTCATTCTCTAATAAAACAAGGCCGATATTTATAATATCAGTGCATTTTGTTATTTTACTTTATTATTTTCGGTATCGTAATTGAAACAAAACGAAACTAAATCGAGTAATCGTGACCTCGAATTTGAACATTTTAGCGTGGACCATTATACAATGAACGTCAGCGCGTTTGCTACTGCAGAAAGTACTTATACAAGTAAAAAATCTTGTTCATGCAATTGCAACTTTGATATTTGTTATGATACCGATTTTCATTGATTGCGCAATTGATCGTTTGATCTACGGAAACACTTTGAACCTCCTAGTTGTCTATTAATTACGAAGTTAAACGATCAAGACACTTTTTGTTCCTTTAAACGGGCTTATTAAGCTCATATATATCATGCACTTTGCGACGTTTCATGTCACATTAATTGTCCAGTTGTTTCGGATTAGCATGATATAGCAAATGTCACGATAAAGTTTTCATATCATCACAAATTAAGACACTGATACAATTGAAGGCTTGACTACAACAACTAAAGTGCTTAATTTCATCAAATGATGTTTTTGAAAATTGGCGTTAAATTTTCGTAAAAACGATCCGTGCATTAGAGTACAGCTTATTGCCGAGGAAGGGAATGACATAAATCTATATCATTGGACGAGGACACCAAAATGATTTATGTATGCTATTTAATGTAGTAATAATTAAACGTTATAAATTTATCGTCAATTCTGAATTTTCTAGAATGAGAACTACTATAAAATTTCATTTTGATAAAAAATGTACTGATCAATTTTCAAGTTTAGGATAGTAAAACTAATGATTTTGTTTTACTCGTATCAGGTAAAGTTGAAAGCCACATCTGCTTTGAGAATATTCGTCAATAAATCGCTCGTTTTCTATGTCATGATAAAAATCGTTCACGCACATTGTCGATGCACAGATTATTGAGCAGTTTGTTCTTGACGTCATGATCAGGGGCTGTACCTTTGGTTTATTTGTAATGGAGTTATAGCGTTTATAAGTTTTATCAATTGCGATAAGATTTTTTAAAATTAAATTTTCGCTCTCGACGCGATTGGAATTCTTGAGCTGTACAATATAGGGTAGCAATGGTGGTAGATCAGCTCTTGGCCAAGAAAACTCGAGTCACCATCGAAAAGTAGCTTAGCGGTTCATCCCTCGTTCAATTTGTCAAGTAAAAATTAGTTACCTGTAAAATCTCATTGAATAAACATATTTATAATTATCTCATATGATAATTGGCGTGAAAAGAAACGGTTCGATATCTTTGAACTTTGGAACAAATAAAAGATAACTGCGTGAACCATTGAAATCGTTCAAACACAATAAAGCAGTAGCAGTAAGTGGATGCGGCCTTGACATTTGGAACAATCGGTGGTTGCTTGTTCCAACGTCGGCTCACTTTTTGTCACCAAATTGTAGCAGTGATCAAACTGGAGTATTTTTTTAAGATCTGGGTTGCTTTGAAAATTAAGGCACAGAAAAGCGAGAGATTTTTCACTTTCGAAGTACACTTTAGAAGTAGAGCCAAAATTCAATAATTCAATGGAACTAATGCCAATATGCTGCAATCGTTCCGTTTTCGGTATTTTGTAAAAAATTTGAATCGAAGTAACCAGGTCCGACACAATGTAGATTCTGAATGAAGAAATTATATTTATAAAAACACGCTTTGAACTCACATGATATTTGAAATAACGAGAAAATTTCATTGAGATTGAGAATTCCATAAAAATGCATTGAAAGAACAGAATAATAAATGCCTCAAGATGAAAGGTATACCGTTGCAAACCATGCATTGAAACAGAGATACAAAGGTGGAAAAGAATTACTTAAATTTTTATTTTTCATACGTAGTGATCCTGAGAAAAAAATGGATAAGAGTGTACAAAAAAGTGAAGGGTAAATTTAAAGAGAAAACAATAGAACAATCGAATGCCTAGAGCCACAGCTTGATTTAAAATTGAGCTGAACAACTATATAAATTGAGTACTTGGAACAATTGATTTATTATGTGAATCTGCGCTAAATATAGTTTGATCTGTGGCAGGAGTTAAAAATAGTTGAAGAATGTCCGTTCGAAGCAACTTTTCATATTGTCCTGGTTTGAACATTTAAAAGGTACTTTAAATTTGCTCGAGTCGATATATGCTGTATTCTAATTTGTTTGAGAATACGTTGGCCAAACAAACGATATGCAGTTTACACCTACACAATTAGAGCGGATCGCCAAGTCTGAAAGATACGACGTAAGCAAGTATAATTGAAAACGAAAAAATCGCAGAATCGAAACATTTGTTTGAATAAAATTAGACGAGCGGAGTTATCGGGGTGGCCCGAGCGCACCCATTGAACTTTGAGCAATCGGTCCATTATCGGCGCGCAACGTATTTTTTACAATAAAAATCGTTTGAAAAATCACGCGATGAATGATTGACGAAAGAGCGATCGTTATCTGGAGCTAGTGGTTTTTCAAGCCCTTCGAGGAGGTCGATCGCGCGTGTCAGACTCGGTGTTTGTTGTCGGCTAGAGGCGTACGCGCAATTACGCGCGCATCTCGTCACGTATTAGAAAGTTATTCGCTAGGAAATTTTATCATCGATCAACTTCTGACAGCAGAAAAATATATCTGGCAAATATATAATGTAAGAGCTCCAGTGTACATTGGTCGTTTAGAGCGATCAACAGCTAAAAAACAGCGTATGTAGGTAAGAGCGATAAGATTATAGGCGTTACATTGGCGTCACGACGCGAGCGGAGCGAATCTTTCCGTTAACGAAAAAATGCGCAAGGAATTTTTGCGAAACCAACGCAACGCAGCTATAGTTTTCGGGGGAGAAAATCAATGGCAGTCGCAGCCGCTGCGGGGCTTTCGTAACTCATTGTCTCGCTCGAACGAGCTTTTTTCTTCGTTCGTCGGACGCTCCGGGCAAGCTCGCATTATCGCTCGTTCGCTCGTGAGTCGCCTATATACAGCCGAGTGTCATTGTTAGGCAAGGAGGAGGCTCAGCTGCATACCTATTATTTGCGCGCCGCGAGTGTTCACGCGGCATGTCAATGATTTTGGTCCGAGAGACTAATTCGTTTTGCTGACCTTGAACTTGTTCTATTCTAGCCGAGTATCGACTGCCTCGGCCTCGTAATACATAAGAGCTGCACAGCTGCGTCTCTTATCATTTTCACCGTCGTCATAATTTCCAGATATACATACGAACATGGACGAAAAGTCGAGCCGCGAAGAGCTGCACAATCGATGATCTTAATGCACTTTTATCTGTCCGCAGCGTATATTGTATTTGCTCGGGGCTTGCGAGGAAAATTAGTATAATCTTCGCAGTTTTATATAATTTCTGTTTTATGTGGACCAAGGCTGTTGCGATATCGAGGATGATTAGTCGTGTATTCGAACCCACTCGTCCGTTATAAACTATAATGTTTATTGTTTATCGAGAAATCGACTGCATCGGCAACGATTCCGACTTTTTGTTTTTCCCAAGAATACAGAAAACGTCGTGGCGTTTTGGAACAATAGAAACGACGATCGTCGGCGTTTAAGCCGCTTCGCGAGGACGGAGCGAATTTTGCGAGTTGTCGTGCAGCGCAGAAGCTTAATATCTGAATTTCGCAGCCACTTCCATGCAGCGATCGAGTGACACGCGCTCGCCGCGTGCAGCCAGTCAACTCATCTTCTTTATGATTGAAATTGCGCTTGAAAAACACATTAGCCGCGTGCGCGCCCGACTTTGTGCGCGGAGTTATTGTGTGCCCGATCGCCAGACATCGAGTCAAATATTTGATTGACTATATAGAAAAAACACGAGGCATCGTTCGTAGGCAAATGTCTCGAAAAGTCGGCACTCGAGAGTAGAAAGTTTGAGCTTACAATCTCCGATAATTGTTTATCAGTCGAATGACTAGTCGCAATTATGGCACGCATTAAATGCGCATACAAATGAGCGATTATGTCATCAATGTTGATACGGTCGTCTCGACTTTGCAGGTCAGAAGTATAATAACGAGCTATAATAATATTAGCTTTTGCGGATGAAACAAGGCCGATTTGCACTTTTGCCGTAGTTTGCGGTAAACCGTCGGTAAATTTGACCAAGTCGTTGGCACTAGGATTCTAATGTGCTGCCACGGAGCAGAGCTAGGGGATGAGCGCACGTGAGTAGACAAAGTGTCGCATGACAACGGTAAATTCAAATCAAGTGACCGATCGGTCGAATTTCATTAATGAAGGTGTAAAAAATTGGAAGAGTATGGAGTATGGAGTATGGAGTATGGAGCGATATTACACGGATCGATTGTTGGTAGTCGGGAAGGATTATATATTAATTGGGTGACATGGAAAATGGAGCTAGAGTTGCGAGCTACACGCTCGAGCACGAAAATCGAAGCTGTTCCAGGAAGCGATCTTTGTGCCAGGCAGGCGATCGTTATCGAAAATAATGCAGCATCGTGTGCTGGCGGTTACGCAGAACGAGGCGAAAAAACATATCGTGCGCGAGCTGGCATTAGCGGTTTTCCGAGAACATGTATTATACTCTGTGTTCAGCAGCGGCCGCGAGCACGAGTCACGAGAGAAAGAGAAGATCAGCGACGATGCAATCGTCGGCACGCGAATCAGTCTCGCGTCCAGCTAGCTCGGGGGGCGAGTCTCGAACTTTGTGCTTGCAGCAGCCGCAAGCTCGAAAAGCTCGGCCAGCGTCGTGGCTGCATTGCGTGGGACGCGTGCGCGGGAAGGGGCTGTTGGTTGATGCGCGCGCGAACACACCGTGTGCTGCTGCTCGCTGTGTGTGTCTGTGTGTGTGCGAGAATGCAGCAGCGTACGTACACACGTATACGTATACGTGAGCCTGTGTGTGTGCAGAGCGAGGACTGCACAGACTGCGACGCGGATAAAGCACGCGCGCATGTAGCCGCACCGAGAGACTCAGCAGCAGCAGCAGTCCGTCTCTGTCTAGGCTAGTCAGCAGAGAGTTGAGAGAGCAGCAGCAGTGCGCGCCGAGCTGCATAAGTAGTGCAGCGCGACTCGACCGCTGACCAGTGCATCGCACACGCTTCCTTCGGCCACAAGACTATACGGATAATATTCCCGATAGCTCCTCGAGCTCGTCGCACCGTTGGCCAACGACAGCTGATCGCATCTATACACACCCGTCGCCTCTGACACTGGTTGCTCGTCGCATTCGTCTGCCACTCCGCGAGCAGCGAAGCAGAAAAAGCTCACTTGCAGGCATCTCCATTCTCCAGAGAGAAAAAGATAGAGCGCGAGAAAGAGACGATCGTTCAAGGTCAGTACGAAAGCCCATCGGACCTGTGCGTGCTCGTGGAAGATGGTCGCTCTCGTTCCCCTTTTTTTTTTGCTTTGCTTTTCAAGCAAGCATGCGCGCCTACTTACTCGACTATGATTCAGCTGTACTTGCGCAGCTCCGTTGATATAAAGTAAATAAACCGAGTGCATATATCGTCGTTATGTCACGAACGCGTGCGCCTACGACGCAGACCGCGTGTCCACTTTGCTTTGTTTTTATTTTCTTTTTCTTTTTCTTTTTCTCGCTCGCATCGGCGATCGATCGGGCGCTACCTTATATCTAACGCCTCTTTCTTTAGCCAAGCTTCCTCTGCGTGTAAACAAAGAGGCCGATTGATCAAATCCGTTCTCTTGATTGAGCAGAGCAACTTTTCCCGCCAAGCAAACGTGGGGCTCTGTGTACACGCGCTCTTGTTAATTAGTCACTCGACGATCGATTTGAAATTGATTTTTTTTCGTTCGAATCGCGTCGAGCAGCAATATGTTGCACCTTTCGAGCCGAAAGCTCTGGTTCGCTCTGGCCGATAGCGATGATTCTCGACAATTTTTATATCGGCCAGAGCCATTGATAAAATTAACCAACAACGACTCTTGTTCTACTCGGTATAGCATCAGAAACTGTGGTGCCGGGGCTAGACGCACGTAATAGTTTGATGATGTGAACCGCAGCAGCAGCAGCAGATAGCAGTGCTTAGCACAGTTACGATATCATTACGTAGACGGTAGCAATTGCGACGGCTCATCCGAGAGCAAATTACACGTTTACGTCGATGATCGTGTCGATATGTATGTCGACGACGACGAGCGACGATGATCGCTACGCGTGCTTTCGACATTCTTGCGGCTTCTCTCTCTCTCTCTCTTTCTCACTCGCTATCTTTCGCACTTGTTATCTCGTTTATTCGACATTATGCAATTGCAGTTTATTTCAACCTGCCAATTGCTCAGACACGACATTATAGCTATAACATTAAAGCTCAATTTGTAAGTTGCATCACTTGTAGCGCGCCAAAGAGTTCGCTGCATAGCTCGCGAGTCGAATCGTTTGACTTTGTATCGAGCTAGACTCGAGCGCGATTTTCGACGCTTCGAAAGCGATATTTCTGTTGCGCCGCAACTCGAAAATTTTCCAATCGTCGCTCCTACGCAAACTTTATTATCCGGTGCGCATTGTAGGCGTTAACCTTGAGTCGGAGGTAGCTGCCAGCAGCGCCCTCGAATACGTCGAGAAAGAAAGAGTCGGCCCACGCGCAACTCGCTCGAGCTTTTGCGCCTCTCGCCGTCTCGTACACACCGGCCAAACTCACGGAAGTCCCCCTGTTCTGTTATAGAAGATACACCTATGCGGATAAACAAAGCGCAGCTAGTTATGTATACGCGATTATACTTGCGAGGCAGAAACTGTTTAGTCAGCGCGTCGAGGATGTAGCGAAATGTCGGATGCTTTTGTTTTGCCGATGAGCGAGTGGAATCGCGCGGCCGCTTTTCCCGTTTTTCCGAGTTGCGCGCGAACGCCAATGTCATGGCAGCCGCGGCACGTCGTAATTCCCGCTATAGGTATATTATCATAGGTGCAACGGCGAGTGAGTCGCGCGCGAGAGAGAGAGAAAGAGAAGAAAGAGGTGTGCGGTGGCCAGCGCTACGTCAGCTGAGCGACCCTGAAATCGTGCGCGATCAATTGTTTCCGATGCGCGAGCTTTCCAGCGAGCTATGTGCTTTCTCGCCTTTCGCATGGCACACGCAAGGCACAAGCTGCTCGTTGGATCGTGCCACGCGATGGAGGTGTGTGTCGCGCAAACACACACACACGCGTGTACAACGAGTATAGTACGACAATTGCCACTCGAAAGCTGGCACGTGTTGTTTATGATCCGACGATGATTCGTCGACGCCAGCAGCTGTAGGCGCGTAACGAGCGACAGGTGCGCGATCGGTGACGACACATTTTGATTTGTCGCGCGATCGACAATTTCGACGCACTCCGCCTATTATTGTACCGAGTATCGGACAGTTCGATCGTCACGTTTTCGAGGCAATCGATGCTCGCGCGCACTTCGCCGCTTATCTAGTCCAATCGCTCAGAAATTCGATGTTACTATTCACGTCTTTATCTTTGTTTTTGTCTTTTTTCTTTTTCTCTTTTTTCCCAGATCACAATGTCGATACAGATGATTCACGATATTACAATCGCGTCGACGCGAGTGGCTCGATTTTCGCTCGTACTCGCTCGCGAGTGAAAATAAAGCGCGCCCGACGAACAAAGCCTTTGTTGTGCGACTGCACAGATTATAAAAAGCACTCGAGAGTCAAAGATCTTTCCGAGAGCAAAACAATAATCGCGCGCAAAAATTCACACCTTTTTGAAGAAAAAAAAGTCGCTTTCCACTCGGCAGCTAGTTCACCGCTCGATCACACTTGCAACGTACGCAGAATTAATAAAATATGTATAGTCAAGTCGAAAGAAAAAGCCACGAGTCGAACTGCGCTTCTTTTCCAAGCGTTTCGCGCGCCGAACCGAATAATCGCGTAAAAACGCTTAATAAGCACACTTGGGATGTATACGAAGAATCGAGTGCGCCAATTGCTGTTTATGTGCTCGTCGTCGCACGCGAGCCATTTCATTATGCCGATCGGCGCGCAAACTCGACGCGCGACTCGACGTGCCTTGGCGCACAAGCCTGAAAAGCCAAGAAAAACAATTTTTAGCTCTCTCGCAACTCGACGTCACCGGAAAGCCGTTAATATTTTCCTCGTTGTATCGCAAAATTCGAGACTCGCCTCGAATGCTTCTCATCCTATATATTCCGTAGGCTCGCGATTCCAATATCGATTCGATTGGAAAGCTCTCGGTGAATAGGGGCTTAAAGTCGCCCTTGCATCGCAAAATTCTAGCAATGTGACATTCAAATGCTGCGAGAGATGAAACATTTCTTTAGATTTTAAATAGCTGCATAATGTGTAACTTGACATTTTTCTCAAACAATCGCAGCAGTAGGCAAGTGCACACTCGAGATGCTTCTAATAGCTGCAGATATTATTTTCAGCGGCGTGATATTACCGCTCGCACACTGATTGTATCCAGAAACGTGAGCTTTGGGGCTTAGCTTCTATGGCAACCTTAGTCGTATTATGTAGCAGTCGTACACATGAAAAGCGCATCGTATAAAACGTTTCTGCGCTGCGTCGCTTGACTCGGCAATTTGCGATAATTAAAAAAGAAAAAAAAACCAGCCAAGCCTACAATTATGAAGTTTCATATACCATGCATGCTCTCGGTGTAGCAAAATGAGCATGTATATCGTAGGCAGGCATTTGACATAGGTATAATGTGCGTGTGTTACAAATGCGTGCGAGTGGCGCGTATACACACAATATTGCAAGGTCAAAATCATTGTCAACGTCGTGTCACACGCACATGGACGGCATTAGTTATATTGGTCCGCAACGGAGAAGTTCCGTATACGTAGGTATACATTAGGAGCTGCTGCTAAACACGCGTAAGCTAAAACTCCGGCCAATTTCCGTTTGTTGCTCGTTGATGCAGCAGCGCGGTCGTTATAGGAATGCGACTTGCAAGCGCCTATACGACACCAATTGACGCGATAATACTCGCACACACACACACACACACCGAAACGGCGTTACTTTTCGAGACTCAGCTAGTCGCACGACGAATGCGCTTAATCATATGCGAGCTAGAATGTTTGTAGTCGATGCGCGTCTGCGATCGTGTGTATAGAGCCGTGTTTATTGTTCTCTCGCTCGACGACTCGAGAGCTGCAGTGCAGCTACGTCGTCGTATTTGTCAGCTTTGGCAGCTCAGAGAAAAAATGCTTCGAATCGCATCGCGTGCATGGCTTACAGAGGCTTGCCAGCTATACTTAAACTGTCATATACTTTGAGTATCTATTTACAACGCTCGACTTGTTTTTTTGAAATTATCGATCTAATTATTCAATGACGAGTCATCGCTTTAATGACGGAGAATAGCGAAAACAGCCAACTTCTTAAATCTCATCCATAAAAATAATATTTTCTTATTAACTTCAACGAGTAAACAACTTATTAGAGCAATTTTTCCACCTAGAGCAAATTGTCAACTCTGTTTTCTAGCTTCTTATAAACGATTAATTATCGACTTGTTTAAAAGTACTTTTACACCTATCCCCATCTATAGAACACCGATATTTTTTTATTTACTTTTTTTTAGATAACATTATATCAGTGATCGAGTTTGCTTTTTTATAGAAATTTAATTAGTTACTCGAGTTATGTTTTTATCATTGAATAATATTTCAAGTATCGATAAAAATCTAACTCACGAGATTGCGATCGTAATATTTCGCTCGATAACAATTCACAGATTCGGAATGTGTATTACTTCGATAAAAAAATGTATGCAAATACGAAAGATCGATGCTCGAGCGAGTATTATTTAATACACACGTGAGCGCGATGTCGAATGGCTTCTTTCCAAATTGGCTAAGCCCGAGCGAGCTCGTGAAGTAACTTGACATAACAGACTCATCTCGAATCTTGGAAAATTACCGACAGTGAATTGCATTTAATCCAGAATCGTTAAAATTTATGATATTCGCTTGGCTCTTGCTCTTTTTATCTGCGGTACTTAACCGAACCAACTAGTAACAATAAAGTTTGACACCACCCCCAACTCCAATGTCGATAATTTCCGTGACTATGCATTATTTGAATAATCCATAAAATGTGAAATTGAAAGTGTTTCATGTTTATTGAAGATGAAATTATCAAGCGAAATAATAAATATCGAGCTACATAGAATTGATCGAGTATTTGTAATCGCAATGCAAAAGCTTAAGCTTTTTTGTTTACGTTTATAGATTTGCATAAACATGCATTGATCGACGGCTACTTTTATCGGATCTTGTTTAACCGTAAGATAGCACATCCGAGCAAAAAACAAACTTGACTTTTCAAGCTAGAATATTTATAACATGCAATGTCTTTTGCATTATGGGAAATATAAATGTCTCAAATCGCGAAAGTGATCAATATTGTATGATATTTTTGCTTATAAAGACTTTAACAAGCCAATTTTACAAAAATGTGTTCTTTTGTTTTGAATTCAAAAATATACATGATCTGAAAACGCATAAATCAATAGGCGCGATCGTTCTTCGTTGACAAAGAGTACACACAAATATATAAAATAAATAAATATTTCGAATGGAAAAACACGATTGAAATTTACGAAAGTATCGATATTTTGCCACAGAATCTCTAAAAAATAACCATGTCACGCAACATTCTGCAAGACTCGGCCAACGCAGCCCTGGATAAAACCGTGTTGAACAAGTATATGGACTTGCCTCAGCCGGTCGATAAGATCCAAGCTGAGTACATCTGGATCGATGGCACCGGAGATGGCGTACGAAGCAAAACGAGAACCATCACTAATATTCCCAGTAAACCGTCGGGTATGAAACTAATACTTTTTCATCAAATCAGTCTAGTTGCGAGCCACAAAAAATGTAAATAATAATATTTTTCTCTCGACGCAACAGATTTGCCCGTTTGGACCTACGATGGAAGCTCGACGTATCAAGCTCACGGAGAAAATAGCGAAGTTTTCCTGCAGCCAGTAGCTATTTACAAGGACCCGTTCAGGCGCAACAACAACATCCTCGTCTTGTGCGAAACCTTCGACTTCAACCACCAGCCCACGGCGACGAATAAGCGCATCGAGTGCCGCGAAGCCATGGACGCGCCTGCGGTAAAAAAGGAAGAGCCATGGTTCGGAATCGAGCAAGAGTACACCCTGTTGGACGTGGACGGCAGACCCCTTGGCTGGCCGAAAAACGGCTTTCCCGGACCCCAGGGGCCCTACTACTGCGGCGTCGGCGCCAACAAGGTCATCGCTCGAGAAATCGTCGAGGCTCACTACAGGGCCTGCCTCTACGCCGGAGTACCGATCTGCGGTACCAATGCCGAAGTCATGCCATCTCAGTGGGAATATCAGGTAGATTGAAAATAACTAAAATTATCTCGTTGTTTGCTTCAACGGCGAAAAGTTGAACGGCTTAGTAAGGTGGAAATAAAATTACAGGTCGGTCCGAGCCTGGGTATCCATGCCGGTGACGACCTCTGGATCTCGCGCTTCATTTTGCACCGCGTCGCCGAAGAATTCGGCGTGGTCGTTACCCTGGACCCGAAGCCGGTTCCCGGTACCTGGAACGGCGCCGGAGCCCACACCAACTTCTCGACGAAATCGATGCGTTCCGAGGGCGGCATCGAGGAGATCAAGCGAGCCATCGACTATCTGAGCAAGCGCCACGAGAAACACATCAAGGCTTACGATCCGCAAGGAGGAAAGGACAACGAGCGTCGTCTGACCGGCATCTGCGAGACCAGCAGCATCCACGAGTTCAAATCGGGCGTCGCGGATCGCACCTCCAGTATCCGCATTCCTCGCGCCGTCGCCGAAGAAAAGAAGGGCTACCTCGAGGACCGCCGACCGAGCAGCAACTGCGACCCTTACTCGGTCACTAATGCCCTCGTGCGCACGTGCATTCTTCACGAGTAAGCTCTGCAAGCTCTGCAAGCTCTCAAAGTACCTGCAAATTAAGCCCTTTCAGAAGTTGTGCGAATTAAATCTACATTTCGTTCGATTTCATATTATATGCAGACAATACTAATCGACATACACAAAAACACACACACACACACACACATCTATATGTCTCAAGATTAATGTACCCGAATCATCGAGTAATGTGGAATAGACACAATGACATGATTTTATGCCGTATATTGCGACCTTATAATTCTACAAAGTTAACATATACAATGTATACATACCTACCTACAAGGGTTCCACAAAAGATATTCGGTTGATGCAAGAAACGCAGCTAATTATTCACTCCCGAGCTGTTCTAATTCTTTCTACTTCTTCCTTGCATCATCCGAGTGATTCATGTCGCCCAAATAATCTGAATAATGTGATAGTTATCTAATGTATTTTCGATCGATTCCACAATATGTGTACTATTAAATATCAACGTGACCTATCCCCCTCCTACCTGGTATGCGTTTTGAATTCCAATTTTGTGCATACGTAAAAATGTTTAAATGTCAATTTTTCTTCGTCTAACTTCGGACTGTCGTCCGACCCCGGAATAAAGTTGAAACTACTACATCTCCATGTATATAGGTGTTCATATATTATGGATTCACGCAGTGAAATCCATAGATATTACGTAGTTTATCGTATAATCGTAACATAAATATTTGTTACAATAATTTAAGTAGAATGAAGAGTAGACAGAAGCTTTACAATGAAAGAAAAAAACAAATATACTGTTGAATTAAGTATAATTCTAACAAAAAAAAACGATAAAAATATCGATGGGTTTAACGCGACGCATCGCTGGTATTAATAGCGTTTCGAATAGAAAAAAAATCGACGCATCGGTTTTTCAACCACGATGCATTACTCATGATTACATTCCCTATAAATGTATGCAACGCAAAGTCGGGGAAAAGCCAAGTCACCGACAAAACACAAAAAAGATAATAAAGTAGTGACACATGAAAACTATTTCAGTAGTTGAATTAATTCGTATTAATATACGATATAATCACGCATAATAAAGTTTGTAAAAACAAAAATGATAATAATGCAAAAAACACTTTAACGATTGTAAATCTCACGATGAAAGTGTATTGCTAACGATTCGTTTATGAATAGCACAGTGACAGGTTAATTGAATTTTTAATTAAGTGATAATAATAGTGAATTAATTTTGAAAAATGTTAACGCACGTATTAGTTGGGTATTAATGTCTATTTACAGACAAATTTATCAAATGATTTTTGAAAAATTTTGAAAGTGCGAACGGGAACAGTGCATTTTTAGCACAGATTCATCTTTTGCTAGATCAACATGTGTGATAAATTAAATTAATACAATGAGAAAAAAGAATAATATATCATTGCAATTATTGTATACGTAAAAATGTATGATGTTAAAATCATCGCAAATTGTATATTTTCATAACTCGTTACAGAAAATCAAATTTATATTTTCTCTAATTAAATAATTGTCTGGATTGCCAAGAAATAATAAAATGTTGGACATGTTAAAGGATAAAAAGAAATTATGTTGTTAACGATGTTTGAGTAATGTATCATAGAAATAAATGAAGTAAAACTATATGTCATGTAAAAAATTGTTTAAGATCAAAAATTGGTTTTCAGCGAGTGCTTTCTCGACAAAAAATAATCTTGATAAGAATTTGTTCATTTTTTGAAAAATTATGAAAAATAAAATTATCTTCAGCGTAATTGGAGATGTCACTTGTTATGTTGCAATAATAAATGATTTAATTAACTTAATCGTACGTGTATAACTCATTCAATCAACCAAGTTTAATGGAAAACTCATATATTTCATCCCTCATAATGTTACATACTGACATTCCAAAATTCGAATTGAATTATTAATCATCCAAATGATCAACGTAAGACATAGTTGAAGCACTCTGAATTTAAAAATTATCGATCGAACTTAATTCCTAAAAGTACGTAGGCTAACCAAGGCTGAGTTGGGTCTGATAACCCATGAAAATTGTTTCTGACAATGTTAACGCAACTCCTTTGCATAGATATTTCACATTGAGTAATGACATGACAAAAAAGTTGAATTTTTATGTAGAGAGGACCAATAATTTAGAATTTATTGCTTATTAAGAATTCTATTCAATTTCATTTGATATGTTTTATTTAAATCCTAATGGAAATAGCTTATAAGATTTTCTTTGATATGAAAAAATCAATAATTAACTTTTCACAATAAACGATAGAAAATAAATAAAATTGCTACTGGTGAAATTATAAACTCTGCCATAAATAAGATTTCGAAGATTTTAAAAAATATTTCCTTCGTGTGTAATGTATTAAACTTACCTTTGAATTGTATTCATATTTTCATCATTATTATTTTAGTTACAAACTTGGAATTATGAGTAGTTAAAATAAATTTTAAATCATTTTCGTACTTCTCACGTGCACAAATATTAGTTAAGTAATTCTTATACCAGGATAATTTATACTCGCAATTCTTAACACAATTGTTTTATTGGAAAAGCTAACAAATTTATTATCTGGTAATATTTAGATTTTGACTTGCAGTTTCGCATCATGAACATTTTTTTATTTTGGAACCCCAATTTAAATGATTGGTGAAACATTGAATTTAAGTACATTTTGAGGAATAATAGCATCAATAATTAAATATGTCAAAAAATATATATCTCTATTCATATACTAGCTTATTTAATTTAAATTTTTTCTGAGATTCAGATTTCCGATAGTGTAAATATTAAAGTTCAAAATCAAATTACACATATAAATATTTAATTGATAATTTTCAATCTAATAATAAAAAAATGAAATTTAAACATTTCTCACATTCCAATTTCGAAAGATTTAGACGATACCAAAGTATAATTTTCATCGCTCGTACTTATTTGTATTTGATACTGATATAATCTAAAATCTTAATAACACTCAACTTTCTGTTTCAACAATTACATTACAACAAGTTAAGATAATATTACATTTTATTTGAACAGATGATTGCATTATTTTATGAAAATAAATAAAAATTCGGTTAATTTCAACTTCCAATTGTTGGTTTATAATTGTATGAGCAAAAATGTGGGTTCAACAAAGCAAACAATAACTCAATTGTATCATCATCATGTTGATGCATCCGTTTACTTTGAAATCAATACAAATAGATCGAAAATACATTTGCTTCTTACAAAGCCATAACATATGTTCAAATTGACAATACATCTGATTTGAAATGTATATTCCGTTAGTATTTGAAATTTTATTTGTTTTTAAAATTTAATAAATGCAAATTGAAGTATAATCTTACAAACTTTGAGATAAGATGGGAATTTCAAGACAAGATTTGAAATTTTACGTACTCATTTGAAGTTTGTGCTATAATTATAATTAGTATTACAATAGTAATCTGACGATGAACTCATAGATTAAATGTTTTGATAAATAGAACGATGAAATTTACTAATAGATAAATTCACTCTTGAATATCGATTCTCTTGTAACTTGTTGAATTATGGTTTTGATTTTATAGGGTCAAGTAAAACTTGTTGAATCCATCAAATAATTGAGCTTTCATTTTTTCAAATTAATTCTATAAAATCGTAAGAAAAGGGAATGTATTCACTCTAAAGTAACCTGTTGAAAATATTTAGATCAAAATGAATGTAAAAGTGAAGGGATCTTTTGTCTTTTCACGTGAACGAGTTCACTTTCATAATGTACGAGCATTAAAATTAATATGATTGGAACTGATGGCTTGAAATTTAATTTTAAAACAAGCAATTTATGATATTCATAAAATTTTCCTAAAACCGTGCTTTACTTATAGAATTACATTTACTTTACCACTTGTAGATTAATTCACGAAGGTACTCGCCATCTAGTGGTGGCTTTAATCATGGATGAGAAAATTAAATCAGTACTGATACATTTTTAACGAAAATTTCATGTAAAAATGACACTAAAAAATGCAATATCAGTCCCTTTAAATTTCATGACTGATTTAAGGTTTTTTAGGCAATGAAGATGTTGTGAGTTTTGGCAAATAAAATTTTAGCGAGTTTTCACTACAACAATCGAATGTAGGAACGAGCTTTAATCGACCTTTCGACTCGGCAGCCGGCGTTGATTATGCACTTTTGAAGCTCGGCGACGTCGCGCCTGCGTGATATCGCGCCCGCGAGGCACGCAGAGTTTACGTTTGGTTTTTCTTTTGGGAGTCGAGCGTTCCTCGCCTCTCCGTATTTACAGAATGCCTGCAGTTCCGAGAGCGTAGCAGTCGAGGACAATTATTCGTTCGTTCGTGCAGCAAAGAAGCACACGGCGCGCTCCAACTCGGGCGTATATAAATAAAGCTCGCAGCGGAGAAGCATTTGACCGTACGAAGAAAGAAGACAGCTACAAAGTGTGGGCAGCGAAATTCAGCGCTCGAGCCTTTCTCTCTAAGTTTGGTGAGCCGTGGCTCGCCTCTGGATGTGCGCGTCAAAATAAAAAGCAGCAAAACTAAGCGGGGCCAAGCTCGTTCTCTCGGCAAGACGCAGTTGTTGGCTCGCTGGCGCCTGCACGCCGCGCGACTTTTCGCCACGGAATATAAGCCGTACCTACCAATAGCACAACAATAACAACGTCTCGAAGGAGAGCTTATATACATCGGTGCGTGCGTCGATGAAAGAATGAAAATCGGAGAAGCTGGCGGGACGATCGCGCGTCGCTTTTGGAAGTAAAAAACGAAAGAAAGAAAGACGCCGCGCTAAGGAGTGACAGATTGATATTTCGTTATCGCTTGGGCCGAGCAGCAGCAGCAGCAGCAGCGACTGACTGGCCGAAAAAGACAGAGAGTCGCGCGCGCGCCTTTATGACTGCCTCATATAAAAGCAGCCAGCGAGAGTCCGCACCCGATCATACAGACGTTCGCGGCTGAAAACCTCGCAGCGAATAGGCGGCGCGGCTGGCTCGATACTCGCACCGAATTCTCGCTTCTCAGCCTCACTCGTGCGCGGCCTGTCTCTCCGCTCGTGTATACAAACAGCCAACTTTTACTCTTCGGCTCGGCAGCCTACCTACCTCACCGTACGACTCCAAAACTTCGTCGATCATGAGTTTCAAGGTGCTCGTGAAAGTCTGCGAGACTGGCATTTTGGCTGGCCGCAATGGACAACTCGTCAAATTCGGACGCTGCTTCAGGTAAGCCAATTTTCAACATTTTCATTTCTCGCGAGGGTTGATGGCCCCGGCATCGGCAACATCCGCGAAGCGCCCCGAGCCTTACTTTTCTCCCTCGTTGTCTTTACTTTTGCTCGGTCGATTCGAAGCTTCGTCGATCGATCGATCGGCTTGCATAAAATATCATTTTTCGCTAAGGAACGAAATTTCGACTAGCGATTGGTCTAACGATTTAAAACCAGTATAAATTGAGTAGAGGAAAAACTCGTCCGCGCGCCAAACGGGCTATTGATTGGACCGAAACAAGATACGCAATAAGCTCGAGACTTTGTACGCGTTCACTTTTGCTTTCACGCCAACGATCTCACTAAAAGTTGCAAACTTTCGACACGCACCTCTCTTATCGTGCTCTCGCTCGAGCGCACAACTGCCCGACTTGATAATCCTCATTCTACGTTGCAAAAATTTAAATATAGAACTCATCTCGCTCGCTGCTGCATGCAGACTTTTTATCAAGCAACGGAAAAATTGCCCTCAGATGTTGTTTTCGATACTTTCAATTTTAACCCCGATAATGTGACATATGAGCAGCAGCAATTTAATCTGACAGATAACGGACTCTACCTTGACAGATTTTCGATAAATGACCAGCGAATTTTCGTGAAAATATTTTTCGATTTATAAAAAAAATCTCAAACTTCCTTTTTAATAACACCTTTTATCACTGAATTTTATTGATTAAAATAATTAGACCGAATTAGACCGATTAAATTATACCGAACAGATGAATTATATTAAAAATTAACGTTATCTCACTAATTACCTATACTTTTTATCTGCTCTAGTTTTTTCAATGAGCTCAATCTTTTTTTTTTTTAATTAAAAAAATCAAGCAATATCAAGATTTATTTTGATGATTTTTGAGAGTACAAACAAAGTTTCAAAAAGCATGTTCGTTAATAAAAGTAAGAGACATTTTACTCGGCGTTTAAATTAACTTAGATCGATCATACATGAGTATTCAATTTGTCCGTTGGTATTCTCTTGAATTCTTTTGGCTATACTACATTGTTTGTATCATTAAAAGGACTTTACGAACGAAGTTAAGTAAATTTGTGTTACGTTCCGCTGTGGAAGGTCAAATAATATACATACATACATATTGTTGAAGCCAATACGTTTACACCTCGTTTAAGTTTTCGAAGCTCTCAACAATAAGTTCTTATGATATTTTAAAATAACATTACACATTAATATTATTTTAATTCTTTTATTATTTTAATTTTTTTATCGTACGCGCAGAAAATTATCCACTTACTATCTCATTTGCATTCTTCAAACAATCGCATGAAAATAAGATTTTTTTGTGTTTGAATCAGTAATTTTAAAAAAGTCAGGGTTTCAAATGTTATTCAAAAATAAAATTGTACTTAAAATTTCAGAAAATTATTTATAACTATTTTTATTAAAAATTGACGAATCAAAATTGCATTCAGTACTTAAAGTATTTATCTATGAATTCTTTTTGCGAGCTTTCTTGGCTAATATGCACAAAACAATAAGAAAAGGCGTTTTTTCGACACGTGACGGGAAAAAAGAAATAAACGAAAAAAGCGCACAGGGTCATGAGTTTATAAAGCGAACAGTCTCGTTTCTCTCGCGTTCAACACGGACTCGCCCACAGGCGGAAAGTTACTCGTTTGAATGTTCACGTGAACAGATCGTGTTGACCAGCAAACCATATGATACATTCGTTGTTCTTTCGTTTTTCTTTCTGTCGAGTAAAACAATGCATTAAATTGTATTTAGTTTGAATTTCGTGTTTGTGCATCTGCTGCACTCCAAATCGACTTCATATGCAAAAATTCAAATGATTATATTTAAGAGCGGTACTTAATTGAGCAAAGAAAGAGGATTGTCAGGCTTCTTTTTTTACGACTTTTCTCATTCAACAATCGCGTTTGAGTTTCGACGAAAAATTCTTCCATTTTTTCCATTTTAGTTTAGCTATGGATCGTTTAATTTTTTTCAATAAAATATGTATGATTTTAAAATACATAGCTGACTGCATTTACAACTTTGGTTTTACGCATTAATTGAAATTGCGATAAGTTTTATGATTTGTCCAATGACCCCCTGCATCACTGCATTCTGAACGTCAACGCATCAACGCCCTACGCTGTGATATGAAGTAACTGACGCCAGTACTTCCTATAACAAAGAAGATAGTAAGAGTCCGATTGAAAAAATACATCAATTAAATGATTTTTTGTTTGTCAGTTTATTATCGACCGATTCTTAATTGAAATGCACGAAAAATATGTTTATCAATCGCGTGATGCTTAAGAGTCAAATTGATATGAACTGAAACATATGATTAAAGTTAGATTTAACTGGTTACACTTTTATTTTTTTAAACAATTTATTAAGGATCAACTCTCTTTTGTTTAAAACATTTATTTATATCATTTGATAACTTGATGATCCCTATGCTGAAATGTATTTACATTTTTGTTATAATCGGCGATGACGGGATTTCGATTATTTATTGATATGCCTCAGCTGCATAGTAACAATAAACCACGGAACATATTATTGAACAAAATTTATGATCGAGTAAAATTAGAAGTTATTTAAATAAAAACTTTGTTTTTCAACGTATAACGCTACCTATTATAGACTTTTAACAAATTATTCATCATCAGCTTTTTACGTGCTGAATATTCATTACTAAAATCTCCTGAAAATAAATAATGGTTCTATTTCACATAAACAATAAACGTTATGGCATTGTTCGGACCCTATTTCTGAGTCTTTGGATTAACATTAAAAACGAAACAAATTTTTGACGGTACTAAATACATTCATGCGCACGTGTTGAATGATTTGCTAAAATCGATACATAAATACATTGTGAAATCATGACGCAAGAAATTTAACGACGTTAGGGCAAAATTTTAATATTTGATATTTTGAATTATCACAAAGTGATTTGTTTATGGAAAGTTTTTGGGACTCACGTGAAATTTTCCTGTGGCATCATGTTTTTATCTTAAACCCTTACATCATATTTCAACGGTTCTTATTGATTTTTTGAATTTCAATTCTTCACGTACGCGATTGAAAGATTTCACCATTTATGTATTCTTAAACGAGTCAAGTGCTGTGTTTGTCATGAAAAAATTAAAAAGAATGATTCATCTTTTCTTATAATAGTTTATTTACATTGTGAATTTTGATTTTTTCGATTGAATGAGAATAAATAACACTATTGAGTTATCGGAAATATTTCATGTTTGAAAAACCCGTTTATATTTAAAAGCAAGTCGCCTGATGTAAGAACACGTGCGCTACCATTGACTAAATTTTACTGCTGTTTTTAAAAATGGAAGTCAAATCACACGAATGCAAATTTTGAGTTTGAATATCGTGAGAGTTGTATACTTCTCAATGTGATTCATCTAATTCTAATTTATTTTTTCCAATTTTTTTTCGATTTATTTTACATTGCATTAAAAATTTGCAAATTAATTTTCATAAAGTATTTTGTTATTTACAAAATCCTAAGTTGCAGAAAATCAAATTAAATAATCAATATAGGTCAAATTATAAAAGCGAACGTTAAAAAAAAACGAAAATGAAATGTAAATGTAAATTTCAGCACAACTGGCACCGTGTCAAAGGCCATGCTGGAGGACTCGCCAAATGCAGCTATCGACAAAACCCTGCTGAACAGGTACTTTAACCTGCCCCAGCCAGAGAATAAAATTCAAGCCAAGTACGTATGGATCGATGGCACCGGCGAGGGTCTGAGGAGTAAATCCAGGACGCTCGACTTTGTCCCTAAAAACCCCGAAGGTAAGGCTCGTTTAGCGACGCCGCTATAAATATAATTGCAAGCAATGATTCACACTTGGCACTTGAATGGAGCGATTAGAGGATCGATCGTAATTCGGGTTATCCCATTTTAGAACTTCCCAAGTGGCAGTACGACGGCAGCTCGACGTATCAAGCCGAGGGCGAGAACAGCGACATATTCCTGAAGCCTCAGGCCATCTACAAGGACCCGTTCAGGCGCAACAACAACATCCTCGTACTGTGCGACACGTACTACTCGGACATGACCCCGACCAAGTCGAACAAGCGAGCAGCCGCCGCCGAGGCGATGGAGATGGTCAAGAGCCACGACCCGTGGTTCGGCATCGAGCAAGAGTACACGTTCCTCGACATGGACGGCCGACCCCTCGGCTGGCCGAAGAACGGCTTCCCCGGACCCCAGGGGCCCTACTACTGCGGCGTCGGCGCCGACCGAGTGATCGGCCGCGAGATCGTCGAGGCTCACTACCGAGCCTGCCTGTACGCCGGCGTCGACATCTCCGGGACCAACGCCGAGGTGATGCCCAGCCAGTGGGAGTACCAGGTCGGGCCCAGCCTGGGCCTCAAGGCCAGCGACGACCTCTGGATCTCGCGCTTCATCCTGCACCGACTGGGCGAGGAGTTCGGCGTCGTGGTGACCCTCGACCCCAAGCCCATGCCGGGACACTGGAACGGCGCCGGGGCCCACTGCAACTTCTCGACCAAGGCCATGCGCGAGGAGAACGGCATCGAGGAGATCAGGCGCGCCATCGAGAAGCTGAGCAAGCGCCACGAGAAGCACATCAAGGCCTACGACCCGAGGGAGGGCAAGGACAACGAGCGCCGTCTGACCGGCAAGTGCGAGACCAGCAGCATCCACGACTTCAGCTCGGGCGTGGCCAACCGGGCGGTGAGCATCCGCATCCCGAGAGGAGTCGCCGAGCAGAACAAGGGCTACCTCGAGGACCGCCGACCGAGCAGCAACTGCGATCCCTACTCGGTCACCAATGCCCTCGTGCGCACCTGTGTGCTCAACGAGTAAATTTACGCGAGAGACGTTTCGAGGAGAGGAGACGAAGGACGCCCGCAGCCCACCGAAGCCGGCCCTCGACCTGATAAAACGACTCGAAGCTGCAGCTGCCTCAGGGACTTTTGAAACACTTGTAATCGACATCGATCGGCGCGTACACGAGTCGTGCGAGCTTTTCTCCATCGATATCAAACATTCCGCTCGTTCCCTCCAAGCAGCTGCCAAAACAAAACGAAACAAAACAAAAAACACAATAAATCTTATCGTACGCGCCCACAGCTGGATCGTATTTCTATGGAATACATGCGTTACTTATCAAGAGGTAAAGGTAATACGTCATGAGACCATTATTTACGGCTTTTATTGTATATCGACTGTACCTAATATATTTTGTTGAGCGCTAACGATCGACGTACACGCGAATCGGAACATTTTCATTGATATCGAGAACGTTTGAGTGACTTTTAATCGGATAGATACCAAAACAAGGGCTGATCCAAGTTCGCCTAAATCTGACTTTTATATGTGTACATCTGATGTGACAAAATTCATGTATGTGTGCAATTTATGTGTGCAATTCGTCGAGCATCACAAAATTTAACTTTATTCTTAACATTAACTAAGTAGAAATTCTGAATAGGTAGGTTGAACGAAATTTCTGCATATATTAAGAGCATTGATTTTTATACGATTGTGAAATATATAGTAGATTTAAACGTATTAGATTAGTTATTTTTACATAAAATAGTGAGTAATTCGAATGTAATGTAAAAAGGAAATTTTTCCACTCTTACCTAAAGTTTATTGGTGTTTATAGAGAACTATTTATACATTTTTAGTAATTGTACAATGAAAAATGATCTACTGTCGATCGGTAACGATTATCTCTATGATGATTATTAAAATTTGATAAATTCTACTTTGCAATCATTAGTTAGGACAACGATATAAAAATGAAAATATATAAAATAAATTTTTAACAAAAACTAATTATCGTAGTTCGTTATTCCATCCCTTAGTTCGAATGGACTTTTTTAATTTAAATTTACTGGCTCCCTTCTCGGCATGTATGATATATCCCGAGAAGGAGAATTTAAATATTTTAAAGCGAATAGACTTGAGCTGATACACGTCAATGCAATGGTCACTTTACTTAATTCAAATTAATTATAAATAATCAAGAACAATGGCAAAAAGCATCATTTTGCCCTCGAATATTCTTGATAAGTAAAAAAATCTCTTACCATATTTCGTGGTACCGATGATGCGTGAAAAGCAATCCTTTCCTTCAAGTTTTCACAGAGTATTGTCAGTAAAATGACGTCTTCGTGACAAATGATAAAAAAGGTCTATTAAAAGTGTCAATTTGAGGCGAGTACTCAAAGGAGCTGTTATATATAGGTATCTTGTGACCACGTTAATAGTGCACGCTGCAGTTTACAGTATGAAAACCAACGAAGCAGAATTTTGGTTGAAAATCAACTCATTTTAAACAAGTTGCTACTTGTCAAGTTCTGTGTTGTGGGCAGATGTGAGGCGGGACGAAAAAAAACGTGGAAACGAGTCAAGAGCAACGGACTGCCGAGGAAGCGGCCAAGTAATAAATAGGCATATGTTCAGTGTGTCGTTGTTAAACAAAGACAGTTCTGTGAGGCAGGCAGAAGCAGTGATCTCGCGCTAAGTGAACAAAGAGAAATGGCATCGTGTTACTCGTTCCAGCTAAATTACCATAAAGTAGCGTGCTCCTTGACAGCCGGTATGAACGAGTAGAGATATGCATTTCGATGTCATATTCGACGGCGGCTAGAAATCAATGTGATACATCAAATCCCTCTATAGCTATTATCGTCATTAGTTCAATAACGTTAATTTCAATTACTTTTTAAAGTTCCTATGACATTGATAAGTCATTTCAGTTTATGACATAACCTCATCGTGTATAAACGTATTGTGTATCTTAATTTTACTTAATGTAAGCATCGCATTTTGTAAATAACATTTCAAAAGCTCTCTATTATTAAGTTGATAAGTTTATGAAAAAATTTATATATCATCAACAAAGAGTATAGAATTATTAATTTTACTACAAAGTTCCTATAGAAATTGACAATATTTGTATTTGTATGGCATTTCTTATCTAATTAACAATGCATTCTACATTTGTAAAGAATTTTATTACCAAAAGGCAAAATAACTTTTTCTGCACTGTTTGCGACGTAGAAAATACTAGCCAGAAATTCATATCCAATCATATTGCTTCTGAAAAACATCTTGAGTTAGTGAAGACATGGCCTTTGCCGGATGATTTGCCATTAGACGAACAAGTAAATTTTGAAATCATAAGTAATGGAATGGTACTAGATAAAACTAAACAGTACAAGTGTACTCTTTGTTCATGTCAAGTTAATAAAATTGGTCATGTTATCACACATATTAATGGTAAAAGACACATGGCAAAACTTAAGCAATTAGCACTAGTTAACGAAGAATACGATTTTATTAATTCAGTTGATAAATGTAAAAAGAAAGAAAACAACATTTTTAATGGAGCTAGTACAAGTCCTGTTAACATTACAAATCAAAGCTGTTCACTCAGAAATTCAGAAAGTTTTACTAGTTATGAACAAACTAAAAGCTGTGGGACTAAAATTCTTACACAACATCAAAATGTCAAAAAGACTGTATTTAATCATAATTTTAAAGAAAGTCAAAATGAGATAAATGAAAAGTTTTTAAATTCTGATGCAAAACATTTATCTAACTCGTCAATTATATGCAGTATTTGTCAGAATATATTGAAATCAGATGCAGCACTTCTGTATCATAGAATGTTTCATTTGAGCCAAAGAAATCCTAATATTACAGATATTATACTTTTTGATATTATTGAAGATTCTAAGCGTATACATTGTTCAATTTGCAATTATGTTATGAATAATGAAGAAGAACTCCATGGACATTTAAAAGACATAATTCATCAAAAACGATTTGCTATTTTGACTTGTTTAGATATGACAACTTCGATGAACCTTATGTCTATCAATAATGCTACATTATTGAATATTATGTATACAAATTCTTTAATGCCACCAAATATTCCTATGATTCCTAATACAAACAGTATTTATGACGCGTACTATTGTTGCAATATGTATTATAATGATTATTCAGTGGCAATGCAAAATAACTTTATGAATTCTAGTATGAACCAACATGAAATGTTTAATACAAATCATTCTTTAGAACAATATCCACAAATTGTCCAATCAAACGTTAATGACATTGCTTATTTTTGTTTTTTATGCAATATGAGTTTCACAAGTGAAAATTCACTTTATATTCATAACTATTATGATAATGTACATAAGTCTAAAATGTATTCGATTAACTTATTGATGAATGACAAATATATTCAATTTAAAATAGATTCTGATTTTGAAGGTATAAAATGTTTAAAATGTCAGGTTCTTTTAGTTAATGTTAATTTTGCTATAAATCATATTTTTCAAGAACAACACTTGATGCATGAAACTAATGAAGCTCAAAAACACTTAACTGCTGTAAATAACTATAATATTGTTCACCAGATTAATTATAATTGTCCAGTTTGTAATTATCATACCAATCATGATTATCAGATGGTTCAACATTTGGAATCAAATGATCATAAAATCAAATCACAAAACTATTACTGCAATGTAAATTGTGATTCTTACAAAAAAATCATTTTTCATTGTCAACGTTGTGAAATGAATTTTTTTAATGATAAAAATTTACTAGATCATTTTTATCAATACCATGGAAATTTACCGAGACAAAGAACATATGGAAACAACATTCAGCAAAACAATGAAAAAATTAATTTTGGCTGCCCTCATTGCCAGACTATCTGTACAAATGATGCAACGCTATCAAATCATCTTCTTCTATGCCATTCAATAGATACGAAATTGGATAATAAAACTGAACAAAGTGAAAAATCTCATCAAGTGAAACGCTATACAACTGCAGTAAACCGATCCAAAAATTTAATGAAATTTAATTCAAGATATGTCAAACTATGTGGTGAAACAGGTGATGGAAGTATTTTTAAAGTTAATAAAGAATTAATTTCAAGATTAAAATTAGGATTAAATTTAACATACCCATATGAACAAAAAAGAGGATGTATTCCATGTGGTATTGAGGTTTCGAGCAGCTTACAATGTCTCTATGAACATTTGCGTTCTGATGATCATGAAAAAAATTTGCAAGAAATGGAAGAAAATGATGAAGATTTTGAAGACTATCCTGATCAATTCAGCGATTTGAAATTAGCTAAGTCATATATGTATGAGTATTCTGATAAATTCATCAAATGTCTTGCTTGTGGTATTTTAATTCAAGACCAAGATGATGATATTCGTAATCATATGCAGTCGGAATCGCATAATGTCAACTGTGAAACTTGGAAGGAATCATCGGATGAAATATTCAATATATTTGATAATATATTTCAAAATCTTTGGTATTATATCGATAAATATTTTTGTAATATTTGTTGCGCACAATTTGAATTTGATGTTGATTATGCTAGGCATTTAGAAAGTTCATTGCATATAAAAGAAGTTGAAAGAAAGATACTCAAAAATCAGTCCTTGTCTTTTGATTGCTGTATCATTTGTGCCAGCTATTGGTATGCAAAATCAGATCATCATTATTATCATTGTAATAGATATTCACATAAGTACATATTAAAATCAAGAGATTTTACTGTACCTGAAATGAACAATGATGCAAAAAGTTTATTAAATTCAGTAAATCAGTCTATCAATGAGTTCATTAAGCAATCAGATGAAGTTTTGAGTGCAGAAAAACACATAGAGAATATGATACTAAAGTCAATAGAATTGGTGGTGAAATCCAAATATCCTAATGCTAAAGCACATCTATTTGGATCCAGAATTTCATACTTGAGTTTTCCAGGAAGTGATTTGGATGTATATCTAGATTGCGAAAATCAGTCAGATCAGTTGATATCAGTGGATGAATGTGTAGAACAAATTAAAATCGTTCAAGAATGTTTTCATAAACATCAAGATCTTTGGGCAATAGAAGAAATTATTTTGAAAGCTAGGGTACCTATTATAAGATTGCGACACAGATCCACAAGTTTGAATTGTGATCTTTCATTCATAAATGGACTTAGTGTTGAAAAATCTAAAATACTTAGGTAATAAAAATCTTTAAATGAAAAATTTCAATGATTCAATATTTGATGTTAATAAGAATTTTTTTTTCAGTGTATTTGTCAAAGCTTGTGAACCATGCAGAAAAATGATTTTATATCTGAAAAAGTGGAGTATTCTTTGTAAAACTGCAGGAAGATATGGTATCACCACATTTGCTCTATCGTGGCTAGTAATATTTTATTTACAAACTCAAAAAATTCTGCCTAGTGTATGGGACTTAATTCAGCTTGAAAATTCTTCAAAACTTGTGGCTGGTAGGCATTTTTTCAATGCTAAATTATGTAAATATTTTTCAAGTATTACAATCAAATATAAATTTTTTTCAGGCTGGGAAACGGGTGTTTTTACAAATATTTCTGTAGACAATCCAAAAATTCCAATTAAGGATCTACTTGTAGGATTTTTTGAATTTTATAGTAAATTTGACTACATATCAAACGTTGCTTGTCCATATTTGGGTAAAACTATGAAAAAAAGTGACTTTTCTGAAATAGATGAACTACCTGAAGAAATGAATAATTACAAAACAAAAAGCAAAGAAGAAGACACAGAAATTTTTCGCTTTGATTCACCCATGTGCATTCAAGAACCAATTGATTTGTCTCAAAATATGACTAAAGCAGTTACCAAGCTTCATTTAAGAATGTTTAAACAGTATTGTGCAGAAAGTGTTGAAATTTTAAAGAATATAGAAGAAAAGTAATATTGTAAAACGAAAAAGGGACCTTAAGCGAACAAGAAATCAATACAAAATAAAATATTATATTTTTATGTGCCAACTAATTTAATGTTACTGCAGTGAAGATATTGTGTCAATTATTGATAAAAAGTGTAAATAATGCTCATATGTAACATGAATTTTTCATATATTCATGAATTTCTTTAATTATTTTAATTATCTTGATAATTATTTAAAGAATTTTTATAACAACAGCGTTATTTATATAAATTAAAAACCCAATGCTAATCTGCATTTTACAATAAGATAAAGTTTTATTTGATAATTATTAAGTTCAATGCAATACTACAAGAAATTCTGTATTTCTTTACTGTTATTGTTTTAAAATAATTTTGATTGTTACACAAAATGTCTTCTTTAGGAAATCGTTTATATTCATTTTCGATATAATTTTCTGTTTTATTAATATGATTTTTGTATAAAATGTTGGATTATACATAAATAATTTTTGTTTAATTGATACCTTGGATTTTGTTTCTCAACTCCCCAAATCTCTTTAAGCGATAACGAAATAAAATTTTGACGATTAATTAAATATCCCAAGGGTATTATTAAATACGCATAATTTGTAAAAATTGTCACTAAATTTGTATCGTATGCAACAATAAAGAAAGGGAATAATTTGCTTTGTATCAAAAGCGCGGGAAAATATGTCATGTCGGTCGGAGCTTGGAGGCGTCAGCTGCTCCGAATTTCGATTTGATGTGAAACGTGATTGGACAAATGGCAGGTACAGGGTTGTGAACGATTGTATGTATACAGTTTACGATACAGGGCTGGATTACCACTGATTTTGCCGCTTGAATTGGACTAAATTTATCGTGTTAGATTTTTTTTAATTGAATTCCAGCAACTAATTTGATGAAATGGGCTTATCCGATTATGAAACCGCCATCGAATCATTCTTAAAAGATAAAAAAGCGGTGAGAATGAATTTAATAATATTTGTGCAATTATTATTCCAATTGTACAGTGTACATTTGTTAGGTTATTTAAGATTTAAATATTTATTTTTAAAAACTTTGTCCATTTCTTTTAGATTACTTACAAATTTTTGAGTGCCGAATTCAAAATTCACGTTAATTATGCAAAAGCTATTCTAGAAGAATATTGGAAAAAACATAAAGAAGATCAGTCTCTCGAAGCAAGTTTTTTATTAATTGGACAATTGTCAGACAATTCTATTCGTGTTGAGGTTGTAAGAGAATCAAATTTTGCGGAAGAGAAAGAGAAGTTTACAAAGGTTGATTGTAATCACTTGTACAGTCTACAAAAGTCATTTCAAGATTTAGAATTGTTTGCTTTTTCTGGTGATGACAATTTGCATTACAGTGCTATAAAATGTTATGAAAATAATTTAAGAAGTGATGATGAAATTGACAGTTTGCGCTATATTGGTAACTTAAAAAAAGATGTGAAAACAGGTGAATCATGTGCTAATAAAAAAGATAATATTCCAGAAAAATCAAAGAAAACTGATACAAAACAAGTATCACCTACGAAAGCAGTCAAAAAAATTGAGCCTGCAGTAAATGAGAAGAAAATATTAGAGAAAGAAAAAATAAAAAATACAGAAATAATATCTGAAGAAAAAGGCAATACGGAAAAGAAAGTTGTTTCTACTGATTCAACCAAAGCTAATAAATTAACAAAGAAACCAGTACAGACTAAACAATCTGGATTCAATAACCTATTTGCAAAAGCTGGTAATGTTAAAAACAAAGACTCTAGCAGTACAAGTGAAAAAAAGAATTTGTTGGTAGAGAAGACCTCAAAACTAGAACAGCCTGATCAAAGTTGTAGTAAACAAAAATTATCAACTGAAACAGAAGTAAAAGATCACTCTGATTCTAAAAAAGAAAAGAATCCTACTACTAATGAGCTTAAAAAGACAGAAAGCAAAAGTAAATCTAAAGTTTCAACACAAGTTCATTCTCGTGGCAAAAAACGTGATCGCAGTCAAGACAATCATTCATCATCTAAGAGAAAAAGGATTATAATAGCAGAATCTAGCGATGAAGAATCAGATAAAAGTGACAAAGATGAACCCATGGAAGAAGTACAGGAAGAACCATCTGAACCAATTAGAAAAAGATCACCATCGCCACCAGTTGAAAAACGTGAAAATGGTAAACGTCTAGTGAGAAAAACAAAAGATGAAATTTTTAAAGATGAAGAAGGATTTTTAGTAACAAAAAGAGTTCATGTTTATGAAGCTGTGACTGAAAACGAGACTTCAGAAAAAGTCGAAAAAGAAAAACATGTAGAAAAAAGTAAAAAACCATCGTCAGAAACCAGCACCAAATCTAAAAAACAAACATCTTTGATGAGCTTTTTTCAAAAACGTTAAAAAACATTTACTATAAGTATCACTGAGGTAAAATTACATTTTCCTCAGGTAATTGTAAATTACAGTATATGCATAAAATAAAGTTGTTATTTTTAGTAAAAATGATATTTTTCTCATTGTTTGTATGAGTTTATTAAATAATTAATATATTTGATTATTCTTCATTGTTTGTATTGAAATTTGAAATAAATGTTTAAATAAATATTTCTCTTCGCAATAAATCGCAAAGCCGATTGGTTCTTTTGGGAAGCTAAAACTTCTGGTTTTTTAATAATTATTATAATATCTCTGGGTATTACAAGAATAAATTGGTATTTTTTTCAACAAGAAACGGGCTTGTTTAATGAAATTTTTATTTTTCGAATCGAAGCTTGAGGTGCTGCAATGAAGGATTAAAAAGGAAGAAACAGAATTTTGTGTGCTGCAATTAGCAAAATTCCACATACAAGCGCGAGCTCAATCAAGTGCGTAGGCATGTGTTGGTGCTAATCCAAGCATCAAGCTAAACGCAAACGCACAACTTATTTGCGCGCGCACATCCTTTTGCACTTGACAGAACCTCCTAGTATCCTACTACATATATAGGGTGGCCATAGTATAGGTGCATACGACTTGCGGGGAACTCGAGTTGTGCGAAGCTTACGCGAGTTTACGCGTCAGTAGACGCTTGACCACAACTGAGAATACATACATACATCGGCCAAGAATTTACACCATTGCAAGTTCAATTTTGGCGCATACATAAATCAATCGGTTACCGTTGACTAAAACTCGAGTTTATTCGAAAACGTAAACAAGCCTACATATCGCTCGTGCCGTACTTGCGAGCGAGCCCTCTGTGCAGCAGTAGCAAGAGCTTTGAGAATTGCTCGGAACTTGACTAGCTCGTGCGGCAGCAAAGCTCCCTCCAAGTGGAGCCTAGATCATCGAAAATTGAAGGAACGCTGCATTGCAAAACATCGGCACAGCCACTCGTTCAAATGAAAGACCAACTGACATGAAGGACATAATCGATTGATTTTAGCATCGACAAACTTGAACGAGAAAATAGGAGCGATCGACGGGGCAGAGAACGAGCTGTAAGAGAATAAACGAGTGCATATAAGGCCAGTGACAGCAGACGACAAAAGAGCAAAAGTAGGACAACGTCGGCTGCCAGTGTGAGTGGCTTAAGTGGAAATTGGCAAGTGCGTGCCCGGAAACCAGATCAGGAACACTATATACAGGCCGCAGGGTAAGAGCGATCAACACGAGCTCGGTCGGAGGCAACACAAAGCGTCAACGTACTTTGTAAACAAAGGGCATGGCCGGGGAGAACATAGTAAGCGGGGGTGGGGGCAGCACCAAACCCCTAATACCCTTATTCTCCAAACGCACCGACTGCATCTACACTAGCTGCTTCTGGTGAGTATCTTACTGAATAATTCAGTCATTCATTCATTTTCTTATTGTCGAGCCTTTAGAACGAGGCACGGGTCATAAAATCGAGTTTCGTTATAATTCGAATAAGGATAGGCAGAACGAGGAGAGTCTCGAGCGAGCATAGTCGAGGAGACGTCGGGTAGTCGTTGGGCGCGCGCCAGGGACGCAAAAAAGTGCGTGCTAAGGATGAGCATCGGAGCAGCAGCAGCAGCCTCGTTCTCGTGCAGCGGAGAAGGAGTGCGAGAAGGAGCGAGGCACAGGCGCGCGCGGCGTTATATATCCCTATATACACGCTATATACCTACATACACTGCGACAGATCCCGTGGCCGATCGATACATGTGTTGCAGCAGCATTCAGCCACTCGCGCGCGTCTGCATATCATAGCTCGAGAGCCACGAGAGGTCGTGCGCACCAATAATTAAAATCATAATTTACAACTACCCTTGCCTACCTACCTACCTACCTACCTACCTACCTACCTACATACCTACCTACATACCTATCTACTTCGTAATTACCTTTTCAATTTCCTATTCGTTTCTATGCAGAAATTATCGATTTTCAAAGTCCGCTACAGAAGCCATGTAAAGTCGTTCAATGAGCATAAATATTTTATATTTTATTCTTGTCATTTGACTATGCGTGCCTGCAATTGACAGATTAGTCGATTATTCCCTGAGATGTAAGAAAATCCTTTGTTCATACCTTGACGTAAAAACCTGTGCTTTTTGCGCGTAACATTTTGACGATCTTGTGCAGCGAGAAAAGATCATCTCAAAGCCGCTCCAGCTCTTGCTTACGCGTATGAATTTTTCCTGCAAAAACAAAGTTCTTTGATCGAGCTACGCGGCATAATTAAATCTAAAATTTTTCAAAGAAATTTCTTCTTTATGAGCTCGGGCTATAGATTACTTTTCATTATTAGCAAAGGAAAAATGCTTCAATCCACCCTCTAGATAAGTTTTCTTCTTAATATCCTGGCTTCCTCATACTGCTCACATTGCAATCGCGAGTTTGGATTATTTATCGAGAATGTAGCATTAGCGAGGAGTACTATTATTATATGTGAGGGTAATAAATGCTCTCGAGTCACAGTCAGCAGGGAGCGACTGTCGCGTAAAACTGCTGATGTTATAGCTTCGAAGATTATGAGCTGACTCGGATGATGCTCACTGTTACGGCATATACCTTACTGTTTCCATTAGAACTTATTCGCCCTCTCTCTTTCGGTTCATACTTGCTAGTTAACGCATATAATAATTCGGCCCTTTACGACGGGGGGCTCGCAAATGGACATTAGCGCGTTCAGGGTGAAAAGCGAATAGCTGCGAGCACGAGAGCAGGTTCGCATCGTTTAGTCCTACTATTTTGTTCTTTCATCGATTGTTTTCTTTTTTCCAGCGAGTTTTCAGCTCGCCGCGAGCTCGTAGCTATTCGGTGACATACATTCGCATAGCTAGACGCAATCGCGTTAGCGCCCCCTCGAAAGGCGAAACAAAGCTATTATGTACTCATTTATAATTTATGCCCGTATTTTTATTAGTATAATAGGCCCTACCTATACAACTGCACTATCTTTCAATGTTTATATATTATAGACTTTACTTTGGCTTGTATATTAGATACAACTTATTTCTTCTTCGCAGGACATTTTTCTACGCATATAAAAAAGCTCAATTCTCCTCTTCTCATAGTTAATTGTCATTGATTTGCTTTTTTCTACTTGAGATTATAAAATTACTATCTACAACAATCTCTAGCAACTGTGAATGATCTTTTAATTTTCCAAAATGAATGTTACAATCAACAAAATATATTATTACGACGTTGCAATTATGAGTCATGGCTAGAATAACGCGCATAATATTGATATTTTTTTAGCGAAGAAAATGTTTGGAAACTATGCCAGGAAGTTGCCACAAAGCATGGCTCGGAGCTTCAACACTGTTACGTGGCTTTTATCAGCAATCCTGGTCGTAGCGTACCTTTATGGAGACAACGCGCTGGCAAAGACGAGGATAAAATAGTCATATGGGTACGACGATGTCTTCTTGTACTTTTCTCCACTTCATTTACCCTTGAGTCTCCTTTTTCGATCTAGTAGTTTTTCATGCACAAACATTTTCATCGTTTTTCAGGATTACCATGTGATTTTGATCTATTCTCCGGATGAAAGGGCAGTGGTTTACGATCTTGACAGCGAATTGCCTTTTCCCACACATTTTTGGAAATATGCAACGGAAACTTTTAGGAGAGATGAAGCGCTACCGACCGAGTGGCACAGGATGTTCAGATTAGTTACTGCGAGTGATTATCTCAAACATTTTGCTTCTGATAGACAACATATGAAGAGAAAAGATGGGACTTGGATTAAAAATCCTCCCGACTATAGTCCTATTTGTACACCGAGTAAGTTACGATATAAGGCTTTAACTTATTAACATTTAAATTACGTTCAACTTGTAAAACTATAAAACAACAATTTTTTCCAGCTTGTTCGGATAATTTGGATAGTTTTATAGACATGGATCCGAATCAAGGTTTAGGAACTGTTATGACTTTGAAACAATTGTTCGATCGATTTTACAGTAGAAACAACGTTACAACTAATGCAGCTCCTCCTCCTCAACCCCAAGCTAATTCCAAGTATGCAAATATTTTTTTATTATTGCTTAGTCTTTGAAATATTCATCAAATATTGATGCTTTCATTATTATCATTTTAGCGATAATTTACGCAAATGCACAGGAGTGTCGAGCGCAATTGTGTGAAAGCGAGGTCAACAAAATGTATAAAAAATAGAAAGAGCTAGAACGAGAGAGCAGAAGATTATATGAGAACATCAGGAAAGTTGGAGGTTTTCGGTTTTGCAACGCTTTAAATATTCTTAAAGGTAAACGATACAAAAAATCTTCTCTTCACTGCCATAATTATGTGGTCGTCTTCGAATTCTTATGATTGCTCAAATCAAATGCAGCTTTACATTTTCAACGAGTCGCAAAACTTCTCGAAAAATTAAAGTACAGCTATTTTTCAATTTTAATAAAAATTGATAATTCACTAAAGCATTCCGCACAAAATATATGTATATAACTTCTTTAATACTAACTACTATCAATAAGTATGAAATGAAAATTGGTTTTTAAACTATACAAATTTAACCGGTGCATACTAATGTGATTTCAAGAATAATTATTGCACCGAAGACTGACAAAAAGCAAACAAAACGTATTTCTACAAAAATACAATTTGTTTGCTCAAAAAATGTTCTGCGATTACCTTAGTTTGATTCAATGTGATAGCTGCGCTTATAATAAGTAAATGGATAATTAAGTATAAGTATTGAGTCGATAATGACTCGTTGTGACAACATTAATGGATTAAAATCTTGAAACATTATATAAAATAATTAAAGCTCCTTGACAAAGGAAAAAAACGCTTATAAATCTCTTCAAAACTAAAACTGATTGTAAAAAAGATTTTTCTTAGCGTTCAACTTCATGATATTTAAACTTAAGCTTGAGTAATTTGTGCAATTTGCGAAATAATTTTGGTTAAACGTGGCACATTATTGGTAATTTTTTGAAGCTTTTACATTCAACTATCTTGTCTGAACATTATCTTGCGTTGTAATTGTAATGTTATATCAAACAATTATCTCAGTAATTCTTGTGATACTTTACACTTTCTACTTTTTAATACCTGTTCAATGTAAATACATAAAATATACAAAATGGCTTAATATAATAATTACAAACTTTTTGTAAATATCATAAAAAAAACAGTAATGCATTCGTTTATTGGCGAGTTATTGGTGAAATAATTGACCAGATAAGATTTTAACGTGTTTTTATTGCATTGGATTTTCAGTAACATCGAAAATTAATATTACAAAACCAACGAAAGGACAAATCAAGCATTAAAATTGTAATAATTTTAGCTATCCTTAACAACGAAATTTATATCATATTCTACTAAATTAAATTTAATGTTATTTGTCGATTACTATACATATTTTGAAGATTTCATTCAGCAATTAGCATAATATTTTCCACTTAAAAGTCAGAAAAATATAGATTCGATGTGGTTTTATAGCATTGAAATATTCGATATTTTTACTATCGCCAACAAGCGAATGGTTGCAAGCTGTCAGAATGACTGTTCTTTTAGTCGATCCGTGGCAGTGTCTTAAAGTTCGTCCACTTTTTGCCTTCCGAAAATCTTCACTCTTTTCACTCATGATAAAAATATATATACCTGTTCATCAAATTTAATAACATATATATATATATATATAAAACGTGTTTGTTTTACTCACACGTATCTTGTTAAATCATAATATATACACAATCTAAAATGACTTCTTATAAATAATTTAATCGAGAAACATGAAAAGTTATTTCTAAAAGATCGATCGCGATAGTACGTAAAGTTGTCTATGCGCTTTAAAAAAGTGTCAAAACATTGAAAGCTATAATACAATGTCTACGGACAATTTTAACAATAAAAATTATTCGAAACACATATTTATTCATTAATTAACTATTAAAATCTGAACTTATTAAAAGTGATAAATAAAAGTTTTTTTGAAAAGTTTCGTATTTCTACATTAAAGACTGTTGCATATGTAAACAAATTTATGAATATATTGATAATGTTATCAAATTACATACACATATTGTACATAAACCTGAAAATGTACTTTTGCATTATAATTGATAAAAAAAGCTGTGTTTTATGGGTAATATTGCAGTTTCAAAGTGATTTTTATATGTTCTACCTATACACTTTAATCGTCGTTGTAATTTTATGACCGAGTCATTAATAACAATGTGTAATAAATTGAAAATTGTCTATTTTACAGCCGCTAACTTTGATATACGTGCGAATACAAATATATCAAGCTAGCTAGATAAATAAGCGAGTCACACTCTGTACACCGAGTAAAATGTACGAACGAAGCTTGTATCGTATCATCGCATACTTTTACTCTTTGTCTATTTAATATATGCATTCTTCCCGATTTTCACGATTTGCAAATACGCTTATGTAATATGAAATAATTATAATAATAATAACGATTATTATTATTACAAATAATAGCACAACATACATTATTTAAGACATATTCCTTTTTACATATAAAACTTAACAATTATATTTAGTATTTCATCATTAGCAGTCGAGTTGCAAGTATTATACGCATTATATGCGTCAACGATATGATACATAAAATAAATTCGATAACGACTGTAAGGGCCGATCGTTTGATCCTTGAATTATTTTTGTGACGGTGATATTAAACGCTTTTCGGCAGATTAGCCAGTCTTATTTGACGTTTAAAAAATTAGCAAATAATCCTTGGGATACATCGATACGCGACATGCGCTCATAAATCGTTACGAGTTCATGTAACGAAGCTAAGGAGATTCTTAAATTCTCAGAATTACGGAGAGGATCGAGTCAGCGGACTAAAAGCTCAGGACGATCGAGCTAGGTATCGTGACTTTATCGAGACTCATTGCTCAGTTCCATGGGGAAGCTGGTCAAGATAGTTGAGATCACGTTCGGTAATAGGGCGCCATACTGTAAGTCGACATGGGTATGTTGTTTTTGGACAAGTGTCTGGCATCGCCTTGATCGTACTCAACGTCGTAGTAGATTCCACTTTGGTTCTGCAATAGGATCGATGGCATGAGCATTTAAATGTATTGTGATTTTATATAATGTATAATGTATACATTATAGAATGATAGGCTTATGTCGTTATATTTACAGCTAGAGACGATCTGGACTTGGGCCTTGGCACTTGAAAGTTATTCTGAGGTATGAGATCCGCTCGGTCCTTGTCCTGGGGCTCGGAGTCGGAGCTGTCGGGCTCGAGATGATGCTGCGGGGGCTGCTGGTGCTGCTGGTGCTGCTGCTGGTGCCTCAGTCTGGCCCGGGGCGGTATCTGCTGGACTCTGGGCAGCGGCACCGGGCGCAGCGTGCCGTGCATACTGAGCGTGGGGTAGGCGAACAAGGCCGAGGAGGGTCGGGTCGGGCCCATGGGCTCGGTCTGCGGGTCAGAAAATATTGGCTCGCTGTAGCGAACGTTCGTACCGTAGTAGGCTCGAAGCGTGTTCGAGCCGTAGGTCGAGGAGGAGGAGGAGGCGCGTCGTGCAGGACTCACCGCGTACACGTTGCCGGGGGCCAAGTGCTCGGCTACCGGGCCCCACATGTAAGGCGACAGAGTCGACGGCGGGCCTTGCTTCACCGATGCCATCGTTCCCATGGCTCCTGCAAATATAGTTACGATTGAACGTCGATGCTCTCGTCGTGAGTAAACAGAAAAATAACGAACTGCGTACCTGGCAGAGTACCCGGGTGAGCTCCGGCCATGTATCCGTAAATGGGGTTGAGGGCCTTCTGCTCTCGAGACCACCTGCGGCTCAACCTGCAGAGGCAGGTGACGGTCAAGAGGATGGTGACGACGGCGACGACCGTAGCGCCGATGGCCACGCCGAGCACCTCGCCGTCGGTCTCGCACTGCGAGCCGTAGTAGTTGCCGATGCAGGCGCAGTGCATCTGGTCGTTCTGGTAGGAGCAGGTGCCGCGATTGTTGCAGTGCGAGGATGGACAGCCGAGGCAGGTGCGGCCCGCCTTGAGAGGATCGGCCTTGTGGGGGTCCTTGAGGCCTTGCTGGCAGGCGCAGCTGTAGCCGCCCCAGTTGTTGACGCAGCTGGCCATCGAGTGGCAGTCGTTGAGCTCCTTCGAGGCGCACTCGTCGAGGTCCTGCAGATTGGAGATCGAGCCGGCCGGCGTGTCGACCCACAGGGCGCTGTTGCCGATGTTGTTGTAGCGTCGCTGTATGACCCCGAGCAGGTGCTTCTGCAGCTCGCCGGCCAAGCTCGGCCTGGCCGTGCGCGGCTCGTAGGCCAGCTTCAGGGTCGTGTTGACGAAGACGCCGCCTTGGCCCTTGCTCACGTCGCCCTCGTAAATGTCGTTCACCACGGAGACGACGTACTCGTCGGAGAAGGGCGTCATCGACATCGCCGACTCGATCTGCAAAGGTACATTGTGTTATTGGCCGCGTCGATTCAAACATTTTAAATAATTTTGTTACGTTGTACTTACGGCTCTGTTGGCTTCGTAAGCGAGGCTCTGGTAGAGCTCCGAGTCCTTGTCGGCCAAATCCTTGTCCCAGACGACTTTCTGGTCGTACATTTTGTCGACGCGTATCGAGACGACGATGCTCACGACTTCTGCAAGTTGACGATTCGACGATCGAATTAGCGAGACTCGCCGCAAGAAAGGAAGAGAGAAAAACGAAGGCGTGACTTACTCTTGCAAGGGAGCGTGTGGACGATCCTGGCGAATCCAGGCTTGCAGTGACAGGCCGAAACCCCGTGGACGGTGGTGCAGGACTCGTGCTGGCTCGCGTCGCAGGTGCTCGAGTCGCCGACGATGCACGTGTCGATGCGCACCGGAGGTTGGCTCGGCCTCCGCTGGAAGGTCGGCCGGACCGGAAGTCGTCCGGGTCTCGGGGATCCGGCCTGGACCACCCCGACGCCGCTGGTCGTCCTCGTGGGCTGGACGCGGGCCCTGTTGACGCTGCTGCTGCTGGTGCTAGCGACGCTGGCCACGGTGCTGACGTGGGGTGGCTCGCTGCTGCTGCTGCTGCTGCTCGTCGTGTCGAAGAGGTTGAGGTAGGTGCGCTTGCCGTCGATGCTGACGAAGCCTTGGCCCTCGACCGGTGCGGTGAGGATCTCCTCGGCGCTGCCCTGGAGCAGACCACCCGTGGCGACGGGCACTCGAACCTCGGCGGCGCCACCGCCCGAGCCGGCACCTGGCCCCTGAATGGCCGAGACGACCACGTCGAAGGTGTCGGGGCCCTGATGATCGCTCACCGGATGTCGTGGCGGAGCTACCACTGGATGATGAGGATGAGGATGATGGTGCACGGGACCTGGATAGGGCCTCTGGGTCGCCGCGACGCCTCCTCGGATGCTCGTGTAATCGAGAGTGTCGTCCAAAACGATTCCCGGCCTCGGCCGATACGTGTACACCGAACCTAATGCACGATAATTGCGTTAATCGAGTAATTGTATAATTATAAGCAGTAACAAGAGACTTACTTTGGCCTCGGGAGAAGGTGATGGAGCTGGTGATGGCCGGGACTCTTTGAGGCAGCGAAGCCGTCCTCGTGAGACCACTGGACAAGGCCTCGGTGGGGGTCGAGCTGGCGAGCTCGGCGATGCCACTGCTCGGCAGCTGAGCTCCGCTCGGCTCCAATTGCAGCTGTATCTCGTCGATGGGCAACTGGTCGATTTTGGGTCCCGAGTCGATCTGCTGCTGATCCGGCTGTTGGCTCGGCCTCGTGGCGCTGGCCTCGATCGGCAACTGGCTGCTGCTCGAGGTTGCTTCGACGAGTATCGTCGTGCTGCTGCTGCTGCTGCTTTGGATGGTAGCTGTCTCTCGATCGAGGTAGCTCGTCCGGCTGGTGCTATCGCTGCTGGCCACCTCGACGGCTGCTTGCTTGCTAGCTGCTGTTAACGATACGGATCGGCACGTTACAAATAATTGAAGCCGAGTATAAATTAGAATTCCAAGCGGTTACGTTAAGCGCGCGGAATGGCGATGAGAGTAAGTAGCCGCAAAAAAGGTCGCGACGTATACGAGGGAGAGAGAGACAGAGGAAAATGGCATTGGAGTCTGTTCTCGGTATCGGAGTGTCGTACGAGCGAACGAGTTGCTGCACACGCGGACTTTACCGTTAAGCGAGGAGAACGAGTCGGTGGCGAGCGGCACTACGGGTTGCGGCTCGTCGGCTCCCGCTTCCTCCTCCTCGTAGACCGTGTGGATGGGGAGCGGCTGGACCGGTATGGCGCCCAGCACGAGGGTGTTCTCGCCCACGGGACTGTCGGTGCGCAGGGTCGACTGGTACTTCCTCGTCGGGCTTATCGCAACGGGCCGAAGCGACGCCAGTGGAGTTTTCGCCACGCTTTCTTTCGACTCTTGCTGTTGTTGTTGCTTCTCTTGCTGCTGCTGCTGCTGCTGTTCCGACGACGTTCCCGCAGGTAGAGTGTTCATGCTGATCGGTGGCAGCGGTTTGTAAGCTGGAACTGGCCGTCTCGTACCTAAGCACACGTTCAATTATCGTTATAGCGCACGAATTGATCGGACAAAGAGCGACGGGCTAAGGTACAAATTGCTCTTCTATACTCACCGGGCTTGAGAGGATGTCGATTGGCCCAGGGCCTCGGGGGAAGCATCGCCGGCACGATGGAGTCCGGTTGTTGCAGAGGAGGCGCGTAGGCCGATTGCGGCGGGTCGGGCGGCAGCTGGTTCAACGACGGAGTGCTCGGGGCCGGCGGAGTCTCGAAGGTCGCGGGCTCCTCGGGCAGAGGCGGCGGAGGATTCATGCCGGCCGTGTTGAAGTCGGCCGGCATCGGCAACACGTCCGATATCCTCGGCGGCCCTCTGTTGTTTATTCTGTAAACGCTCGACGTTGCATTTAAATCGTATTCAAATCACTCGGATCGAGGCGAATTCCTTCGAATGTACCGTAGCGCATTCGATGAAAAGTCCAACTGATTAGAAACAGTTACATAGCCAAGTTATGAATTCATCGATCGCTCCGGAAATCGAATCCGCGAAGCTCGCGCAAAAAGGAAATTCCGCTAATCGTACCTCGTACCGGTTCACGCTAATTCGCGCGAACTGCTTCAACGACATAGTCGTATACTGGGTTCAATCGCGGCCGATGCGAGATCGAGTCGACGATTCTTCCGGATTTTATGGCCGACCGTCGCGACTGTCGAAAACGATTCAACGTGTATAACAAAGCTCGAGTACGATATCCTCGGCTCCGACGCGTGGCTATATAATTACGTACATGCCTGTCGGGTAAAGACGTAACTCGTTGAGCCTCGCCAAGCGTACGAAAATGTCGGTGCCTCGTGCAACGGTTCATTCGTTGCTTTATCGAGTATGCCGAGCTCGGAACTGAGGATATATTATGTATCGTTATGGCGTCGATCGCACGACGAATATAATACGTGACATAATAAATGAAGGCGCGGTATGTACCTGGTGGTCTGGACGGGTGCTCGAGCCGGCTTGGCCGAATTCACGGCCACGTTGACCTTGCCGTGAAGGATATTGACGATACCCGTGATGATGTCCTGTATGTCGGGATTGGCCTGTCGCTGCTGGTTGACGGCCGGGACGGGCGCGTGCTCGCCCTTAAAGCTCCTCGGCGAGGCCTCCTCCTCGTCCGTGCGTGGCCGATCGCTGCTGCCCCCTCGAGCTTGACGGGGCACATTTTGTAGGAACAGCTGGCGCGGATCGCTGTCCAGAGACTGTTGCTGCTGCTGTGGCAGAGTACGGGCTTCCTGGGGCTCCGACCAGGGTGTGCCTAGCTGACGTTCCTCCGGAGCCCCTTGAGCTTCCCCCGACAGATTGTCGCTCCTCGTCGGGACGATGTTCCTGTAAAAATGGATGAATGACGAGTTAGTACGAATATCTCTGCATAAATCGATAATAATGAATGAAAAACTCGTACTGTACCTGTAATAATCACCAGGCTTGACCTCGATCTGATTGCCGTCGAGCGGATCGAGAAGACGCTTGGACGGGCTGAGCAGATCGTGGTTAGCCGCCAGGTCGTCGAGGTTGAGGCCGTTGGTCGGGCTGGCGTAGCGCCAACTCTCGTCGAGGCTCGCCAGCTCCAGTTGCTCGTGGCTTCGGGAGCTCTCGAGTCGCGCCTCGTCCGCGTCCTTGTCCGTGCGGTAGAGGTGGGTCGAGCTCAGCGGCTGGTAACGCAGCTCGTCCTGGCCGTCGGACGTCCGCTCGCGATACGAGCTGGCGCTCAGAATCGGCTCGTTCTCCGCCGATCTCGACGGGGTAACGTCATTCTGGATCGCGTCTATGCCTGTCGACACGAAACATCGATTGTTTTCATTGCAATTAAAACTGTACTAAACAAAATTCCAAAGTATAAATTTTTTTGATTTGAATTCTAAATGGTAACGAAAAGTTGAGAGCAGTTTTACGAACGAGTGTGAGAAGAATTTGGATAAAGGGTATCGGGCGATGCGTCTTTGTTTTGGCACTTTGAGCTCGATGACTCGAGGCAGCTGCGCTCGTGCGTCACGCGAGTCCCTTGGAGTTTTTTTGTCTCGAGCAAAGAAAATTGCAGCTGCTATCGAGACGGCGGCGGCGTCGGCCTGGCGTAATCGGCCGGCTCGCTCAACGGCATTCCGAAAGTCGAATTCGCGGGAATCGAGCGAGAGGCACAAGACTCGAAATTGCGTCGCACTCGTAACGATGGGTCTCGGCGCCCTCTGCGGACTTTGACACCGGCCGCAGCCGACTCGATCTCGGATTCACTCGGCTCCGAGCTCACCATGCCATCGAGCTGCGAATCACGCATCCAGTCTCGTTGACATTTTTTGTCGCGATCGGCGTCTTCGCTCGCAGCATCGACCTTATAGTGGCTCGCGCGCGCGCTCCAAGTTCATTGACTCGTCTTGGACTCGGTCGCGCATCCGATGCAGCCGAGCTCGCTATAAGTGCGGCCAGTGGCGTCGCGTACGTGCAGCTCCAGCATGCACTTGCTCGCCAAGAGCCGCCTGCACTTTCGACTGGTTTCGATCGGTCGAGCCAAGTCTGCCTCGTAGCGGAGTCCGGCTCGAGTTCGTCGATCGAGCAATGCAATAACAGCTAGCGCGTCTAGGCCGAGGCTGGTGTATTCGAGCGACGTCCGCCAGCTGATCGAGTCGGCGATCGGCTCAACGTATGCACGTGTGCGTCTCGCGACAAGTTCAACGCTCGAGGAACGAGTCGCTATCGCGAGAAGCCGAGGATAATTTACGGGAGGGAAACGACTCCCGCTGGATTCGGCAGAATCTCGAGCGAGTACGCGATTACGCCAGATGCAGCGCGTTTTTATAATATATGCACGAGCGTAATTTTAGGCTTCGCGTATGCGCGAGCCCCGCTTTTAACTCTTGCGGCGGTCTGAGATGGCGCCGTGACCGTAGTACGCAGCTTTTCGTACCTCGGGTAAATTATAGTTATTGCCAGCTCGCGCGAGCATCGCGCTAGTTGACTGCGTACCACCACGCTCAAAACACAATTAACGCAATTTCGATGGTCAATTTGACGAGGCTCTCGGTTTAACGTCGGTGGTGTTGCCGATGCTTCGATATTATCGTGCCATTATAATGTCTAAATCGGTATACGGTGGCCACGAGATCGCTGCGGGAATCGGTAATCGTCGATAAGATCGAGTGAGCTGTACATCAGGGCGTACTTTACAGCGTCCGAGCACGAACGTCAATGTTCCGAAACGTTAGCCGCTGAATCGACGTACATAACGATCGCAACTAAATGAAAAATAAATAAATAGCCGTAGATAGGATGGAGCTCGGGCGGCTACGAGTGCGAGTCGAGCGCTCAAGAAGCGAATCGAATGGAAAGTAGGCTGCCGAAGCCACGTATCACTATATACAGCAACGGACACGCGGATAAATAGCCGAGGCTCGAGAAGTAAGTACCGAGCGATGATTCGAAAATTCAATGGCCGTGAGTTTCGCGGACTCGAAGCTCTCCGAGCCGCTCGTGACGCGTTTTAGGGATACCGTTAGCTATTGCCAAAACGATCGTCACTCGACTAATCGCAAAGTGCCAGCCTCTAATGGGCTCTCGCGGCTAGCTGTACATAATATTCCAGCGTAAGAGCGCGCAGGAAATATTTGCCTTTAGCATCCGATCGGTAAATCGTACTGCTTATTCTGCATTTGCAGCGTCGCAACTTGGCAGCTGACTATAAATCGAGTCGGGTGGCGACTCTCTCGAAAAAAAAAACTTAAATACAATCGCGCGTATAATATATATTGTGTATGGACGGCAATTTGCATGCTGGCCGATTTCCTCCACTCCCTGCATAACAAGCGATAATAACGGAGCGCCTCGGTGGAATTTCAGAGAGCCCAAAGAACTCTCGAGCCAAAAGAGATTCCAGTTGGTGCCTCGTGGTGGCGGCGGCGGCTCGTTCATAATGTTTATGTTCGCGCTCGCATCGACGTTCGCTGCGCTATACCTACACAGGTATTACATACAGTGGAGCTATAGGCAGAAAAGCAGGCGTTGTTGTATTTCCTGAGCTGGACAAGTAAGATAGAGAGAGAGGGCCTCGAGCGCGCGCACCTATATCTATCGGCAGACGTCTTTGCCGCGCTTCAAGGAGGTCTTTACGAGCTGCGGGATTTTTTCTCCTTTTTCAGGAATGCTCGTCGTGTCAGCGCTGCGAAGACTAGATCGGCTCTCGAAGCAGAGGCTCGCTGCTAGTCGTCGCGCGTGCATATCGCACGACTCGCGGAATGTCGGAACGATCGTCCTATTGCTTTCTTCTCTCTGGCCGGCTCGCGCGGGATGGTGCAGCTTACGGCAGCTACGCTATGTTATGCGCTCGCGTACTTACGCCCGTTGTAACGTAAGCTGGCGATTACAACGACGTGACAGCCGAGGATGCTGCCTGTTTTTTACCGCGTGTAACGCGCGCTCGACTCTCCAAATGGCTGCTGTGCCGCACTCTCGTGCCTAACTACAGGGCGTGAAACCTGCTCGATGGACGAAATGCCGATGGACAGAACGCGCGCTGAGACGTGCGCAGGAAAACGCGGCACTAAATGTAGCTGTAAGCGACTCTAGGCTCAGCTATCGATTACCATTGTAAAATGCATCGCAAAGGCCACTGATGGCTTTTCGAGAAACTCGCCCTCTTTGTATACACATCTCGATGGAATTGCGAAAATGACGGGAGCGAACAAAGCGAGCCGCGGCGATTCGACGAGAAGGAGAAAATGAGAAAAGCGCAACAGCGGCGAGAAGGAAAAAAAGGTATAGGCAGCCAACGGCGAAGGATGAGCCAAATAAGGCCGCAAACGATCCGTACGCCTCTCTGCTGCCGCGAGCTTGTCTTTGCCTATTGTCTTATTGCAGTTGCAGAAACGTCGAGCGAGTCGAGAGTCGAGAGTCGAGTCGAGGGGGATGCGAAGCGTGAGAGCAAATTATTTCGAGGCAATTACAGCGATCCTCGTGGCTGCTCGCGCGCATTAATCTATATTCGCATAAACAGATGAGCCGACTAGACGTATTAGACGCGCAGGTGGATGTATCGCTCGTGATAGTATGCGCGTGTGTGTTTGCGATGTATAAAGAGCTGGATCGAGATAGCAGTGCCGCTAACAATGGCAATAAAGCTAGCTGCGTACGTAGGTATTACGTACAAAGTAGGTGCCTCGCGAGTGAGTACGCGATCGTCGTCGCTGCAGCGTACTCCGAGCTAATCGAGCTATCTGCGGACTCCAAGATCGTACGCACGTAACTCGCTGTAATGCTCCGCGCACGAGCTAACGGAATCCCCGACGCGTACACCTACCTGCGCCGCACTTGGTGCAATGTACGCGATCGGCATCCTCGTCATCGGATCGAGCTCGACACAAGTCGACACAGTTGTATACGCCGCGCAAAGATCCGATTTACGCACGGAGGATCGCAGACACCAGATTTTCGACTCGTATAGCTTTAGTCTTTGTCGTAGTCGCGCGATTAGCTTTATTATGAGCCCGCTCAGACGGCAGAACTGCGATTCGCACGACAATCCTACTTGCTCGGGCTTATCTGCTTACGCGTCGCAACCGAGCTCGACTGCGTGCGATAGCTTAGGCGCCCACGACGAGCTGCACACACAACAAAGCGCAGCGCGCGTCGACGCAACGGTACGTCATTTTCTTCGCTTTGCACATTGTACCGAGCTATGATGTACGCCACGAAACATTTTGTCCTCCTCGTCTGTACATCATTTCATTGTGTCAATCTCATTGTCTTCATCCTCGTCGAATTGGCTTTTCGGGACTAACTCGCTTCGGTCACGCACGCATCTAATTATACATCAACGGCTTAGATAGCTGCGTTAAAGCAATGAAAAGCCCAGATTCGAGTTATGTTGCACCGTGAGCAGTCCAGGTGACTAGATTTCTCGGCCGATATTCGGCTATACTATATGATACAATTTGACATGTCAATGGCCCGCGGTCGTGACTCGACGATCCAATAAGTGGGCCAAATCGCGATGATTCACGTGACTTATTATGCAATTCCCGCGATCGTTGCTATACTCGAGGTGCGGATGCTAAGCTCGTGAAAGTGGGTAATTCCATGAGCTAGCTCGCTGTGTACGTTGTTGCGCGCGGATGGAGAAAGGATATGTTGCTCGAGGCCGGAGCTTTTTCTCCGACGATTGCCTCAATGTATACTTTCTTCCAGCTGCTGAATCATATGCAATTTCTGCACTTCTGGCCCTCTTTCGGATATTTTTATCCTATGCTCCATATTTCTTGGCTCGCCTGGCTTACAAAGACATTCTTATGTGTTGGACAATGTTTCAACTGGTCGAATTACGAGCTCGCTTATTTGTCCTGGACGTATGGGTGCACATTTCTCCGATCGCTCACAGCCGACGCCGAGTCGAGGCCTACATGTTTTCGAGTTGCAACTTTATATACAACGTTAACGGGACAAAGAGTGCTTGGCGTAAAATAGCGAAGCAAAAAAAATTAAAGCACTGCATTATTTCGTCGAGGCGTGTGCTCGCTCGCGCCTAATGAAACACGCGTCAAGCCGCCTGTGTGTGTGTGAGAAAATACCCGTTATTATTATAAAGTAAATGCAGAATGGCAATTTATATATGGGCCGCGCGTGTTTATTTAAACGTGAACTATTTCGCTCGAATCTCGTATCCATCCCGATCCCTTAGCTTTTATCTTCCACGTCGTAATAATTTATTTTTTCCTTAAAGCCCGTAATAAACATATTAGCATTAGTTGCGCGCAAGTGATTATTAAGAGTCGTTCATTTTGCTATACGAGCTAATAAGTGCAGCGGCGCACGTGCAAGGGCTAATCTTGAATTTTCCTTCAACTTCCGCAAAAACAACGCTGTTATTATCTTAAGGCTAATGTGGTACATTTTTATTACGATATGCAGAGCGGCGGCGGCAGTATAGTACTATTAGTACATAGCCAACTAAGCATCTCATATATGGCAGCGAAGTAATGAGTAATAAAATATACCTGCAAAAAAGTTCTATATATTATGCTATCTAGCCATAGAGACCGAGCGGGCACTATTGAAAACAGGAGCCGCGGGCAATTATTGAGTAGAGTCGGGGAATATGGCGCGCAATATTGCGTCGCATAAAATATGCTTTATGATTCGTGTTGTGAGGCCCCGAGGCATTTCAAGGGCTGTGCTGCCACTTGCACTCTGGAATTTCCACCATTTGGACTAGCAGCCGATCATTGTTAAACTCGTTCTCCTGGTCAACGATTTGTAAAGTGAATATGTATTCCATGCGGTTACGAGCCCTCCAACTGCATCGCACCGGAGATCGATCGGGTGCTGCGCACTCGCGGAGACTCACGTATAGACAGGAAAAGGTACCGTACGTATCGCAACAACGACCTCGAGCGCATCAACAATGGCACGTAAAATAATATTTATATTATATAATTCGTGTGAGATAATTCATAATTCATAACGCGTACACTCGAGTGCATTGTGCAATATGCATTATTATGGATGCACGCGAGCTGCCACTGAGCCCCTACCTAATTGGTAAGCAAAGCATCTACCAGCTTGGAGAACTAAAGGTTTCGAGTCGAAGTAGAGGTGGATTTTGAAACGAATCTCGAGATCGAAAAACAAGCTCTAACTGAAAAATTCATACTCTGGAAAAAAATCGAGGGCGCGCAGAGGAAGAATGCAAATGTGATCGAGCTACGGCAATTGGCTCGCTGGATCGGCGATCGTGCGGTGTAAGGAAAAAAAAACGAAATGCCGTACGCGGCTCAGGCTCGTGCGATATCCCGCAGCTAGTAATCTAATCGACGCGTCGCAGTTGCGCCTGCGAATAAATTTCCTGGTGCGAATCGGTATTGGCACGATGGGAATTAATGCCAGGTATTAGGCGTGAGATACGCCTATAGCTAGAAAATAATAAGGCGATAAAAAGTGCGCGACTAGCGCATGGCACTGGGTCAATCGGGTAGAGGGAAAAAAAGACGCGTATATATGGCATCGCGGAAGCGCATACATACAGATTATACTCGCGCAGGTATCGAGTTATGCGCGCGTACGGCAGATCATGCAAACGAGAGCCGCGCGAGATTACTTGCAGGCTGGGATCCTTGGCCGTGAGACGAGAATGTAGGTGAGCGCGATATTATGCCACTGGCTCGCGAGCGCGCCAACAGGCCGCGCCGGACACGCATCCACTGCCGTAGCTGCTTATTACGTGTTATAATACCTGCGTAGCACTGGCCTATATACGCGAGCCGCGAGATAGCTGGCCAGAGGCGGACGAGTTCGTAGCAGAGCTCGCACGGCCCGCAGTCACACCCAGCCGCCAGGACGACTGCCTCTGCGCCTGATTGAGATGCTCCCTCCCTTGGCGATCTGCATGCGTATATAATATTATGTACATTCACGCGCCGCTGCAGCAGCAGCAGTTATAGCCAGGCAGACATCGAGACACGGCGGAAACGACTCGCTTGATTGCCTCTTGTGCGTAGCGATACTCGCCTCTAGCGGCCCGCGTGTATATACCTAGTTACAGTATCGATTGCGATTGCAGCGAGCCTCGTTTACCTGCGCAGCTTCGCGTTCGTGCAGCCGATCGCTTTTATCACTCGCGTATCGATTCGGACTCGCCGCGGGGACCGTTATGCTACCTTGTATTATACCCAGATATTGCATCTGCTTGCGACTAAACTTCCACCTGTCCGAGGCTCGTTTAATTTTTATCAACTGAATTTATTCGACGGACTTCTTCATCCCGGTTTCACTTGTTGTGATCGAATACGCGAGCGCATGATTCAATTGTAAAATTATGTTAGTGGCGCATTCCATAAAGGCATTGGCATTTTTCACACTTTCCAAAGTAATTAACGCTTCTTCCCGATCGGATAAATCAAAGGAATGGCTCGATTAATTAC